TTTAACAAAAAGGGTTCTACAACTGGTCTGTATTCGTTCTTTCTTAGTGGTTCTTTAAATAAATGCAATATATTTGCGGTCTAACATCTCGCTATTACCACTAAAAACTATGTTTTCTAAGTCTGAAGTCTAAGTCTTTTTCATGTAACTTTTTTTATTAATGTGCGTTTTTCCTCGCGCCGCGTCCAAGCCAAACATTGGATTAACTGCAATTGAGCGTTTTTTTCTTATTTGTTATTTTAAAGTTCCTTTTCTGTATTTCCACCTTCACTTTAGTTTATGGTCTAATTTCATTCACAAGAACTCTAATAATTGCTTTTTTTCTTCAACGACCAAAATAAATTTGCTGCCAGTTTTCATTCCCTACTCAAAAAATTGTTGATTATTTAATGCCTCATTACAATATTAGTCCTGTACATTTTTTGAATTCTCCTTCACTCTTGAGTTTAGTTTTTTGCAAGTTCCTTCCCTAAATCATCAGTGAATTTTGCCACCTCCATGCTTCCACAACCAGTTCTGCCAGAGATTAGCAACTAATCTCTGGTTCTGCCAGACCAAAAATAATTAGCGGAAACGAAAACAATTTCCAAACAAAAGTTAATAAGGAAAACTTTGCCTGCGTCTAAAAATAATTTATCTTTGGCCGACTTAGCTTTATTGGGATGGCTTGTAAGCGTTCTGTGTAGGTCGTAACTCATTTACTGGCAAGAGGACCTCCATTGCCCACAGTGAATATTTCAATTAAATGTGTTGAAAAGTGCTTGAGGCTAAAATGTATTCGATGTTTCTGCACGAATGTAAATAGGATTAATGGATTTCTGCTATATTATGGAGAGATCTACTTGATCGTAGATTTTGTGTTATCTTAGTTGCACTGGAATTTGTAAGCGTTTGTTTGGCCATTAATCGCGCAAAGCAAACGAAAAAAAAATGAATCAAACTGAGGAAATCGACTTCCTCACGTTCTCGCTTCACATATCGAAGACGACGTTAATCGACTTTTATCCAAAGCGAGTTTTGCAAATCCAATTAAAGATCGTCAAAACAATCCGTTGTAACCGGCCAAAGGCGACACCATTAACATTTATAAATACAGAAATCGAGATCCTGTTTTCGGTAAATTTCAAAGTAGGTGAAACCGTACGAAGGACTTCCGTTACAAGGAAATTAAATTCATATATGCGAGCATTATCACTCGGTATGATTAATGTACTTAAAATAGCCGAAGCGGTAAGTGCATAAAGTGCATAAATAAAGAAGACGGACACTAAAAGATGTTTGCGTAATGTTCAAGAGAGATGGCTCAACGATTTACACAATTTACAGGTTGTAGTTTCCATTCGAGATTTAGTCGGTTAGATGAAGACGTTGAAAGTTGAGAATCTACCTCAAGATGCACATTATGCAACGGTTAAGTACGAGCACGTGAATATACAGGGTTATTCTGTGCAGATTTTGCGCTATTTTATCAAGTGTTTGAACTTTTTTTTGCCATTGGAGCAGTCTTCGACTGCCCAATTAACTTTAGGTCTTCTAGTCCTCAACTACTTCACTAGCTTTCTGTTTCTTCAATATTTTTCCTCCCTTCTTCACAGTTTCTCTCCCCGCAATACATTTCAAGGAAATCGTCGCTTAACTTCAAGCGATGTTGGGACAAAACCCCGCTAATATGCATTAAAAAAAATACATTTTTGAACTGACAGTAAAAGATAAAGCTGCAGCTCTGCGTACAGACGTAAAAATTACCTTTCAGCTTTTATCTGGATCTAATTTGATATAGCGCAGCCGGCAATGCAGAATGCGACAGATACAAAACGATCTACTTAACCGCATTGCTTCGATATTGATGCGCTTAAACCAGTAGCAGATCGTTGACATGCTAGAGGAAACTGAAGAAATAAAACTAAGTTGTTTTCGATTCAATTCGAAGAATATTTCATCATTTTCTGTAGGCTTGCAGTTTTTTTAAACAAAAATCCGCTGCCGCATTGTGCCTGAAGTTCTATGTGTGAAAAAGAAAGAAAGACAACTCACCAGTTACAGTAATGCACAAAAATTCACTCTTATATTGTCTGAAATTTTTGTTAATTTCCTTGCATTTTTGCTGTTGTTATTTAGGTTCGCTTTTTAATAAAATAGATTCACTTCACTTTTGTACACAAAAGCAATAAACTTGATGGAACCCAAAATTAAACATTAAACTGACAAATTTAACAAAATCACAATGAGTCACCTAAATTAAGTAACAGCTACGATAATGAACAACCCAAATGCTGATAATAAATTTCCTTAATTGCTGATGAGAAAGAAGTGAATGTTTGATTAGGTTTTCCTGTAAATCATTCCTTGGCAGAATGACTCAAGTTTTCAAAAAACTCCAGCACAAAGAAGGAAAATAAATAATTAGCAAACAATAAGCAAATAAAACTGAGTTTGATAAACAAGCGAATTTTTCCCCCGGAAATGAATGATTATTCTTTTATAAAATTTATCGGAGCAAAGGTGATTAATTTTACACCTTGTTAGACGGTACTAACGACGAACATCGTGTATCCAGAGCGATCCGCCATGGCCTTAGCGTTTACATGCGACTGATTAAATTTAATGAATAATCGTGCCGATAAATATGTACGAGTTTTAAGTAGTTGCTCTTGTTCGTTCATCGATCAAATGCTTACGCTTCTTCTCAAACCAGGACCGAAGGAACTGAAAATCTATTATCTGAACTCACAAAAGTTATCGATGTTTTACTGGGTCTTCAATCGAGCTCAGGTATTGTTCATTTTCTTCTACCAATGTTCTCATTGTTTTTACAGAGAGCTCAAAATTCTTCTTAATTCAATTTAACTGCCGGTTTTTCTCATTGAGAAATTTCTGCGTTTTTAGCAAATGTTAATGAGCTTTGGCCGGTCATAACAGAGTCGGTCAATATCAAGTCCCGCTCTGCTTCGTATTCTTCGTTCGAGGAGGTTTCGTGCTTAAAAACAGTTTCCGTTCCGAGTTCGCTCCTTAATGTTTAATTATTAATTTCGCCCGACTTTATAACGGACATTATATGGGCATATACGCTTTTCCTTTTACCGAGTTACGTTTCTAATTAAGTCGTTTAAAGCGGTGCGAAAAAACATGTCCCTCATGTCCAGGTGAACTGGTTTATGCCTGCCTGCGTGGAAACGTGTTAGAACCAGAGTTTTTGATACGAAAATAGCAAATTATTCAGCAGCGGGTTTTATGGGCTTTTGTTATCGCTCTGACCAAAAAAGCGTTTTGTTGCCTTTCAGAAAGTCTTCCAACCGTTTCGCAAGCAGGAACTTGCGATTTTCAGCAAGTCCATTGATATTTTCCTGTTTTTATTTAAAATTTGCAATTGCTTAAAATGAGGCATATTTGTTCGTCCAAAATGTAAATACGTTTTTTCTGGATTTTGAATCGGTTCATTAATAGTTTTTATTCATTTTTGCCAGCTACAGATTTTGCGTATATTTATTTTTCATTATTCTATTTTAGTTTTCACCCATCAGCATTTGATTGGAAAACAGATTTAAATTTGTTTTGGCTTACTTTTTTCTTACTAACTTCATTTTCATAACTTCATTTCACTCACCAGATCACAACGTTGTAACTGCTTTTTCTGTGTGTGTTTTTTTATTTTCATCCCTATTAAAGCTTTGTTGAATATTTATGCACTCCTCAGAAAATTTCAGCTTTTCGTCTTTATTATTCTTTATTTTTCACTTCAATTTTTGCAAATTTACAGTGCAAATTCCAGTTTCGTGTTTTTTTCTTAAAAAAATGTATTATTCAGGCGCCCGTTTTTTCGCCTTTTGCATTACTTCATTATTGCGATTTGACGAGCATTTTGGTTTCTTTCAAAAAGTCTGTTCTAAAATGAGGCATATTTCTTCCCCAAAATATGGAGAAAAGTTCCGGTTAGATTTATCTCAACTTCTTAATCAATTCATTAATTTCTCTAATTCAATTTTTATCAGCCACGAATTTTGCGTTCATTTATTTTCCTGTACTCTATTTTACGTTTGACTCTCAAGAAACTAAAAAACATATTTCGTTTTAAAATCCATGACCATTTGATTCGAAAAAGTCTATTTTAAAACATAATTGTGGGTTTTCGTAAGTTTTTTTATTGTTTTTGATTGAACAGAAGTATTTCTAGAGGTGTTTTATTTTTTCATGTTTAGTGTTTTCTTAATTAAATGCAATATTTTTCGTTCTAACATCGTATTATTAATGGTAATAATAAGCAGGGGTTTTAAATACGATTTTTCATTTATTTAACCGAGGTCTAAATATGTAACTTTTATTAATGTGTTTTATTCCTATTCCTTTATAAGTTTCAAACTCCCTTTCCTAACTTTGCTCTTCTGTCAAACCTTACTTCTTGATATTTTTCATCATCATGATCATTTTCGTGATTTAATTTCACTCTCTAGAACAAAAATTTGTCATTTTTTTTAAATTTTTTGCTCCGATTTTTCAGTTTTCGCAATTCTTCATTGCTCCCATTAGAATAGCATTTCCATCCATTAGAATTAGGCGATTTTTTAACATTTTAATTTATCTGCCAGTTTTTTGCTCTTACTTGACCAATTTTGGCGACAGCAGTTCCAATTTTGTTTAGCAATTATTAGTTGTTTGTTGTTCTTTGTATTTTGCGCGCTGATTTTTTTCTCCGAAAGATCCATGTATCAAAGCAAATATATTCCAGCCCAAGACTATCTGGCGCCATCTCGACAAAACGATGGTCAGCTTTTGTATTGCAGAGAGACAACGTGGAATGAGTCCAGTAGAGGACACTAGCATGAAAGAATAGATTAAAAATAATCAATGAAGATAAATTTTCTTGTGTGAAGAATGTCTGTCGCCCTCTAGGCAAAATGATTATCAGTCTTTGTGCGAATGGCCCTGAGGAGGCCGCAGCAAAGCTCGATTCGCTTGTAAAAGGCGAATGAATTGGCCATTAAGCATTACAAGGAATAAACAGACAAAAAACAAAACCGGGTTTATTATTGAAAACAACTGAGACAGAATTTAAAACTTTTCTAAACCTCCACGTAAAAACACTTACTGATCAGTAGAGTGGTTTTTTTGAACAATTTTTGCACATCTTTCAATCACTATGAAAATAACAACTATATTAATTTATTTCTTATCACAATTATATATAAGTTTAACTCACTTCTAGCTGAATACGTATGGATGTCAAAACACTTTTATACAAAAGCTATTATACATCAACTAAAAAACCCGGCAATTAATAAAGGCAAACCGACATGATTGATCAAGAGTCGCATTAACAGGGCATAAAATACATTATCATTTACAAAAAATACTATTAACAGTATACACAGTGACCCATGGCTGGAAAGTCGCGGTAGTAGCAGGTACACGTTTTAGGTTTTAATACATCGTAATGCCGCAAAATTCGAGACACCCGGTATAAAAACAATTAGATTTCCTTAACATTTACTGCAGTCGATTAGTGCAAGGTTGCTGAACGTAATTCAAGCAGAATCCCTTATTTTCTTGATCCATAGGATTTTCCGTGCTATCTGTGTGGAAAAACAGCAGAAATGGACGGACTGTGCCTAAAAACCAAATTTTTACTTTGAAAAGCGCCGAAACTTGCTGCATCATCAGAGTCATCAAAGATTTCGGATGCAAATGAGTCTTCTAATCTGCACCTCTGTTTACATAAATGGCAATTTTTTGAAATAAATTGAGAAGATTTTGTCCATTGGAAAAATTGGAAAACATCCAGCAAACTCAGAACACAGAATAAATACTCAGTGGAAATCAATACTTACTTAACACAGTGGTCGGAGTCTGTGTAACATCAGCACTGAATGTTCCACCACATATTCGATCAACTGTGGGCGATCTACTCTGGACCACCCTGTCCACATTAGTGGCCATGGGAATAATCAAATAGTCATTAGGGCAGAAGTTTGTGTTTCCCGTGCTTCCCACCATTGATGGAACGGCTTGATTACTGTTTCCCGACAAGGTAAATGACTGATATCTTGTGTTAACTGGAACCGCAAAAAAGTGAAACCTTCGAAAAAACCCCGAAAAATTGGCATTCTCACCATTATCCACACATTGCGTGTACTGAATGCCGCAAAAGTTCCTCTCAGCTCGAACGCAAATTGTATAGTCTTGATTCGAAAGTTGCCTACCAGTTGTAAGGTCGTAGTTAAAAGACTTAATCTGACCGGACACTCCGGTGAAATACTGCAAACATCCATTTTCGGCTGGAAGATAAAAATGTCGAAAAAAATCGCCGGTTTGCACGCTTTAACTTACCTTTCACTTCCGATGAGCAGGGAATTTGAGTTATGCGAATTTTCCAGCTTCTCTGGAAAGAATCGCCTGTTGTGACTACATTGAGGGAAACTGGACTGGCTGATGGCCCTTTTTCCACTGCAATGTACACTGAAAAACCATTAAAATATCCCTTTGATTTTCCTACAATTTACCTACAATTGACAAAGTTTCCAGACGACATCCTCAGCAAGGCAAGTCTTTTAAATCTCGAACAGTCCAAAGTAACGGTGGAAACCAGTGTGGCTTATTGCATAAAATAAGTGTTTGCCTCAAAGAATCCCCTTAAAATATTTAGCTGGACAGGCTTTAATTTATTGTTCCGTATTGCGGTATTTTATCCCTGAGGTCACTTATTTATCGCTCTGCATCCAGCGGAAAGGTAAGCTGAACGAGGGATAAATAAGGGACGAACTGATTCGATTAGCTGACTGTCGATTTTGCTTCAATTTTGACCGCGAGAATTGCGAAGAAACATTTAAAAAATTGGTGTTAGTTGTTAGCTGTTGATATTTTGCATCCGAAGTAATCAACATTTTCTGTCCATTTTGAGTCGTTTTTGAGCTGTAGGTAGGTACAATTTTCATCCGACGATTTCTTCTCTCATCCCAAATATGGATTCAAAAACTTTACTTTTGCATATTAAGGAGCTTGTTTGCTCTCCAACAATCCAATGAACGCATAAAACAGGGTTCTTAAATTTTGATTTTCTATCGAAAATTTCGTAAGGGGGAACGATGATTCCAGACGGTTAAATCCCTAATTTCACTCCCTTTGAACATCGGAAACACATCTAATATTGTTCTCCTATCTTTAAAACGTACCTAGTAAGGATAAATAAATCAAATTGCTGTTAAGTACTTACTCATGTAGCAAATTGCCGATAAACTAAAACATTTTTCCACAAAAGCAGCGATTTTATGTACCACATTCCAATCCATTTGCGATTTACTTCCGAACGCCCACAAAGGTTTATAATTCCGGAATAAGCCCACAAATGTGTCAATGCTTCGAAAGAAGGCTTTTAGAAGTTTTATTTAATTTACTGCAATTTTTTGTTCGATTCTTTTCGCGGTATTATCGTCGTTAATAGAAATTTCGTCCTTCAGAGATCACGATGGCCAAATAACCCGAAAAACCATCCATTCTTATACATAATTTGCATCAATAAGATCTAATTACAGTTCCATCTATTCGCATGTACCCTTCGAAAATAAACCGATTATTGCAAGCAAAGTTGGGAAATTAGTCGTGGAAACCTTGTGCGCTTCAGTAGCAGGCCGAAAGCCTATTTAAAATTTGATTTTCAATCATTTAAAGTTGGAAACTCAAGTACTTACGGTGATTTCCGTCATTTCGTCCGCAAATTGCTGGCGCTGACGGATTTCCTCCAGAAACAATAAACTGATCGTTGATGCAGATGTGGTTTATGGTTTCGGGACCCATTATATTCATAACGTCGAAGTCTAATCTGGAAAGCCGGTTAAATTCGCTCTTTAATAAACCATTAGATCGGCAGCCAGCGTTCTGCGATAAATTTCTTGTGGCTGGATCGAAGCCATGGAATCTGAGGAAAAGTTATTTTTCTTACCTGAATTGACATACGATGGGATTTATCTTCATTAGAGTGACCTGGCACGATCCCACTCCATTATACGAATCTGGATAACCTTCGTTAACAAAGAACGTTCCATTCTCCCTGACAATTCCTCCGCATTTTACTGTCACTGAAATAATCGAAATTCCCGCAATAAATAAAACTGCAATGCAGATTTCGATCGCATGTAAAACTGAACAGAAAAATCGTTTTGAAACTTTCCTATTAGACACTTTCAACATACAATTCCACTATTGGGAAACTGGGGAAACATTTGCTGACAATTTCAAAACGTTTACGCTGATATCTATGCCAGGGTTCTACCTTTGGGGCTCGACGGAAATTGAACACATTTCCGAAGAAAGATAGCGCTCAATGTCGATTTACCTAAATGCGGCATTATCTAGACTATTTCGGCCTATCATCTTGCTCATGTCCTCACTCGATACGACTGTTCATCAATCAATCAAGAAAAACATTTCCAGCTTCCAGGAATTTTAAAAGAGTCTGCGACTCCCGGGTTTAAAGTGGGATGGTTGGAAAACAAGTCTGAAGTATGGGGAATTTACTGCAAATTTATGAATTGTTGGCTTATTTTTTAGCGTCAAACGGTGGGGTTTTGAATGTCGTAGTTTCTGAGACTTCGTCTCTCTACATTTCCCAAAACATCACAAACAAACGAAGCAACAGCAGATTATCCAGATTATTAACGGTGGAGCTCAACTCAAACTCGATTTAGAAGTTTTTTTTAGTTTTCTTCTACTGCTGCTATCAGCGTTGTTTCGTCTGCATATCTCAGGTTTGTCATATTTTTACTCGCTGGAGAGAGAATGCTTCTTTCGCAAACGCTCCTACAAGGCTTGAAGAGGAAAATGTGTCGGGTTTCTTTTCTTTCTTGGCTCATGTTCTCGGAAAGTTTTTGAAAAACCTGTTGATTTATTACCTCTTATTTCTTTTCTATGGTTCTTTAAATGAACCATTTTTTTGTTGGGCAGTTTTCCGGAATATTCGACTTTAGAAAATTTAGAATATTCGTTTATTCAATTAAAGTTTCCGCTGTCGATCCGTAGTTAAAATAATTGCCGATTAAACCCCTTAAAAACGTCTATTTCAGGAATTCTGGAGTTGAATTTGTCAATTGCAAGCTTTTGTTGTGCAATTTTCAACTTGTTTGATGAACTTAAATTTAAGGTTTTACACGTTTTTTGGGGAAAAAAAACGTGCGATTTTTTTCGAGTGTTTCCTTATAAAAATTGACGCTATTTTCAAATCATCTCGACTAAAATTGGAGCACGGAAAAATTAGGGAGACTTTCTTACTTGAACAACAAACTCCATAGCCTGAAGCGCAATTTCCGATCGAGGTTCCACCTTTCCTCTGGCAATCTGTTTGGGATACGCATGTTCCATTTTCTCCATTCGATCCGGTACAGGCTTGATTGTCGAATTGGACAAATGTGAACAGCGAGAGAACTGAAAAAGATCACACAGTTGGATTTTTAAGACAATAAAAGGACCAGATTATCCGCATGCCAAAATCCATATACCAAAGATTCCAAATTGTCTAATTTTTTTAACCAGAATATTCAGAAACGAAATTTAGTTGCTTTGTTCTTTTTCAGATGCAAATTTAATTGTTGAATATTTATCGTTAATTTATGAAGACAGTTTATCAAGCTTGTGTTCCCCATGAGTATGAATCGAAAATACATCAAATGGCCAAAATTAGTGGTTAAAATTTCTAATTATTTATGGAGTTTAAGCGTGGAAATAATGCGATCAACCTATTTACGTAAAGTAATAATTTCCCTAAAACATTTTAAAGTAATTACCATTAAAATAACTCAGCATGTCTCGGTTTGTATGGCGCAAATGTTTGCCGCCAGCTAGAAAGGAACGAGTTTAAAATATATGCTGGAAAGTTGTGTCTAGGCACACTATTCTTGACACACTGGAAAATCGAGTCAGTTTTTGCGGAAAATGGCATTTTTCACTTAGGGCTGGTAATAATGTATTTATATCGCGCATAGGAAAGCGAGCAAGTTTAAGTTCTAATTTTTTCACTCAGTCTCGTTTTGCAGGGCAATTTTCAGCTGCAATAAAGGAACTTTTACTGAGCGATGCAAATCCAAGGAAATCAATACTTTGAAGATCGCAATTTGGTGGATCGACTGGAAATTTCTTAGGAAACTGACAACATTTGCATTAATCTACAATTGTAATATACTGTCGCTGCAGGAATACATTGAATTATTCCCCATTTATTTCACTCCCAGACTAGTTTGCCTTCCAAATGAAAAACATGGGCATATTTTTCCAAAAAACATATTTACATATCTATTACTTACAGCGCCCCATTCGGCTAAATGAGTTCTCCACTCCTTTAGCCTTTTGCCTGGGATAATTGTTTTCCCCATTCTGCATCCAGGTTTCTCCACGAATGCCGGCTAAACAGAAAGCCCCACAAATGCAAATTTGATAGAATCCCGTCCAATTCATTTCTCCTATAGGAAAATGAAAATGTATTTTTTAAATGACTGAAAACCGACTTGAGTGAAGGCGCGATACACTAGAGACTAAACAAAGTATATTTCAGATGTTATGTTTGTTTTGTTTTATTGGAAGGTAATTCAGCGGAAAATTAAATAAAATGGACCGGACTGGCTGGAACTATTCACTCCAAAGTGTCTTATTCAGTTAAAATATTTATTGCGAGTTGTTCCACTGCTGCTAATTATTCCAGATCTGTTTAGACTCATAGCACTGATAGTTCCAGGCAAGTAAACCGAGCACACTTTTTATTTTAAAGTGCGGCTCTGAACGGAATTTTGGGCGCTTTCGATGTCGAAAGTCCGGAAGATGGTTTTTCCGGGTAACGAATCGTGAAAATATGTCCGTGTTCATCTTAATCGCATTATTGTGTGGCACATAACACAACGAACGATTTTCAACACAATTATATGTTGCATCAGGCCATTTTGTTACGAGTTACCTACAACGTTCGGAATTTCAACACGCTTCCTTGGTTGACCGAAATAGCGAAAAATTATCCAAATGTTCAAAATATTTACAGTTTAATTATTCAGCTAACACGTTCACCAATGTAACAAACCAACATTTATCTTGTCTTTTTTGCATTTGCCTAATTATGAGCCAATCTGTGTATTGAGAAGACTTTTTCGTTTAAAACAGTCCATTGCGTTAAAAACACACAACATTTTACGATTTGTTCAAAAAAAATCGAATTACTGCTCAAAGGGTTACAACTTCTACAGCGATTTCATCGCAAGGAAGCGAAGAATTGAACGCGCTCAGAAATAGGCGAGTTAGACACTTCTAAACGGCATTATGCCTCATTTAAAGCGGTTTTTGGGTGGTTTCGATCTTCAATCGACGATGTTTGCTAAATTAAAGTTGAAAACAGCGAAGAGATATTCTAATATAAGAGATATTCATAAAACACAGCATTAAAACAGATTTTTCGTGGATAAAATCGAGGAATAGAGTCGCTCTACGATTTTTTCAGAAAAAACCCAAGTTACTCTCGTTTTATGCTGATTTAAACGCAAGAAATCGAGGAGTATCAGAAGGAATATCAGGAGTAAAGCAGCTACACTTTTCTAAACGCAAATAACGCAAAATTATCACCAATTTACAGCAGAATTTGAACAAATTTTGTTTCGAATCGGTGAAATTTGCTCCGTTTTATGTATATGGGAGACTTTCCTAGATCGAAAACTTGCCGTTGAGTTCGTGAAATATACATTTGGCACTTTGGATTTTTTGCCAATAAAATCGATTGGTYTACTGTKTAGGTACGATTTTTATCGGAAAAACTAAATATTTTCCGTATTTAGAGCRGGTTTTTGGTTTTGAATCGACAATATTTGCTCTATTTCATATACAACTTTATATGTTAATATATGCTATATTATTAGGTGGAAAACTGTCCATAGAATTCATGAAAAACACATTTTAAACCCCGTTTTTTTTAATTACGTCCATGGATACAAATAGATGTTGTGATTTTTTTTCGAGGTCAAATTGCTTGAAATTYCTCATCATTTCTGCCATGATGARAAAAYATTCTAAACGGAAATAACGTAAAATGWTGGTCAATTTAGAGCGATATTTGCTCTATTAGATATACAGACGCTCTATCTATCTACATGGGAGAAATTATTCGGTCGACAAGGTTCCAGTSAGCTCATAAACCACACATTTGAAACTTTGATTTTTTGCTGCTAAAATCAATTCGCTCAAAATTCCCAAATTTCAACATTCAACATTACTTTAAACGCWAGAAAGCGGGAAATTCTAGAAGCTCTGGAATAAAGAAGCGAGGTTTGTGTAAACACAAAACGWAAGCAAAATTAGAAYGGTTTTTGAGCGTTTWGKACCTTTAATCGATCATATTTTCTCTATTTTATATACAGAMACCCTACAGATTTATATGGGAAAGATTCTGAGATYGAAAACCTTCCATTGAGATCATAAAACATACATTTGARACTTATATGATTATTTTCTGATAAAATCGATTTCTACGATTTTTACTACTCTACGAGCTCAGGACCAGAAAAGCAAGATTTCTCTAAACGAAAACTGCTTTAAAATTATGGTCAATTTATAACAGTGTTTGGTCGTTTTGGGCCTTGAACTGACAATATTTGCTGCATTTTATGTAAAACGTCTCTCTATATCGATTTGGGAGATATTCTCAATACGGCTAGAGCTTCTTCGCATTTTTTTCGGAAAAACCCAAATCGCTCAGAATCCCTCAACTTCTGTACCCATTTTATGCCAAACTTTGAGCCAGTGAGAACAGTTTCGCTATTGATCCGACAAAATCTGACTTATTATAGAGCGGAAATCCCACCCCTATTCATATTGAGTAGCTCCGTACGTAGAAAACAATCGACAAAACTTGGGTTGAATATTTTTCCAAACGCTTTACTTCTTTTATCAGTTCCTTCAGGAGCCCCTTGCGCTTCTTCTCCGGTGCTCAACGATCTTCCTGATCCAGTGTTCCTCACTCCAGTTCTTCTTCTACCACTCCAGTCCTGCGACGGATCCAGCGGTAGAAAAACGCGCCGAAGAGTGGGAAATTAAGCCAAACATTCGGCGTATTTCCACATCAAATCCGTCGGACTTGGCGTCGTCAGCGTCGCTCGGAAATTGTTTTTATTGTACAAGTCGCGACGCGAGAACAGTGTGGAGCCGGCATCGGATCGAATAACTGGATTTTGAATTTTCGATTTGGAAAAACTCAACTCGAGACCCCCTTGAACTCGTCGAATGCAAAGTGAGTATGAATCGCTCCAGTCACCTGTTTGTTGTGTGTTTTGCATCCACCCACACCGTAATCTGGCCGATTCAGTCGATTCTAAGGAAAAATCGTCCGCCTGGATTATTTCGATAGTCGGGAAACTTTAGCCGGTGCGGCCAAGTTCTAATTTAAAGCTTGCCAATGTTTGCCGGCGTGTATTGGGAATCTCAATCACCGGCACTGATCAAATAATCTCGCTCCCCAAACATGAATTAGGTTGATTTGATTGGTGTGATGCTTTATTAATCAAATGAACTAATTGTGAAAATTGCAATCGACTTGGTGGTCATGAAATGTGCTTGAAGATGCCAGAAACAGCACACGCACTTATGAACGCAAATTTCCAGTTTATTTACTGGCTCAAATGCTCAATTTCCGTGTATAGTCATGAAAATATGCGCAAAATGAACAACAAAAGTTTCTGATGTAAGTCAGTGAGTAGGTGCAGATTTACTTACTTACTTTCGCCAGAAGTACAGGTTTCGAGAGTGTTATTTTCGGGCTAAACCGGTAAATCATGTACTCACTTACATCAAAAGCAAACCGTTTGTCAATTTTCCCCGGGTAGCTTGGGAAACTTTATAAAACACCGGGATTTACATTTTCAAGTCGCAGGAAAATTCGTTTCATCAACTTTGCGCAAATCGCTCATAACTTTTCTCTCGTTTACTTTGCAATCGATGCATTTCATGAACTGGTGCATTTGCTTTAAATTGAGACATTTTATCGGCGAAATGTTGGCGAGAATTCATTTTCAACAGTACAGAGTTTTGCCACAAAATCGATCAACAAGTTGAACGGCCTTTGAAAAAATCATCCACAGTAAAACGAGTTAAAGTTCAGGCTTTTTCCTTCGTTAACTTCACCATCGGCGGTTGTTGCGGGAGAACATACACATTTTTTGAACGAGCAAACTTTTTAACGAGCCTTGATAATTCATGGAATGTAAATTTTATGATCTTCTTTGTCCTTCTAATGGGCTGCCAAAGGTTTCAACTCTGAATTATTAAAAGCTTGTGGAACTCTACCCGCTAAATTCTCAATATTATTATTGATCTGCAGGCTTTCCCTATAATTTTCCGTATGGATTACCGACTGTACAAGTAATATTAAACTAGCCAACGGTAATTCGTCCACGTCAGTCATATTGGACGATGGAATCTGATGGCTGCTATTCTGGACTTCTTGATATCGAATTGCTCAAACTATTGTTAAATGAATAAATCAGCTTTTGCTTGATTGATCGGTTCGTCAGAAGGAAACTCAGTTTCTATAGTTTTATTCGAATGGAGCGTTTTGCTGAAGCGTTTTGTTACCAAAAAATAATGTTGGCTCTTTCATTGTTGATAGTAATAAGCATCGTCCCCATGCAGTAATTGCCAATTTACAACACGTCCAAATAAACGGCTTTAATTTCTGATTGTTATTTTCACTGTGAATACCAAACTGCCATGATTATCGCTGTTAATTGGCGACCATTAAAACAGGAGTAGCCTTTTAAGTGCATCGCATCCCATAACTGGTTAATGCATATGCACTTTTACCCGAATAAATATTTAAACACGGATGTAAATAACATACTAATGACAATATTTGGGCTATTTGCTGTTGTAAACAGCGACTATTTCCCGAACAGTTTGGCGCGTAGATCAGATTGCAATGTTGGTAATTTTTCCGAATGATTGTCCAATGGAAACAGCGTTTAGCTTGAATGAATTTGGGCAAAAAATTGAATGGAATCGCACTGATTGGCAATTGGCCCACATGGTTTGGATGCTGAACAAGCTCGGGAACGCTATTTGAATTTCGAATGTTCACAGTTTTAAATTGCTGATGAAGTTAAACGCAGTTTTGCATGCAGCCAATAGCCAACGGCAGGAAAATTTTAACGACATTTTCTCGTTTTAACTGATTTTATTTTGGCTTTGGTTTTTTCCAGGTGGCGGGCTCAGAAGGCAGAATCAATCCATCACCACCTGAGACTGTCAGCATGTCGACTGCTATCATTAATGGACACAATAACAGCACCGAAGACTTCACCAAACATGTCTTTGGAGGTATGAATGAACTTGATTTTGTATTTTGTTTTCAACTTCTGTCCGATTTTTTTGAACAGTTGATGACTTTTCAAAATGGAAAAACTAGTGATTGGTTTAAGTAGTTTGATAAATTTTCGGTCGCATTTAATGACCAATGAATCTATAAAACGAGTATAAAGGAGGATTTCTATGCTGAAGCTAAAAGTTTCTCTTTGTTTCAGGTGGACCAGATAATGGTAAGATTTTTGAAAAGTGTTAAGTTAATAACAACATATTTGGTTATTAAGAAAATGTAGGGACTCATTTAAAAAAATGGGTAAGTAAATCGCATTTGCTTGCTCAACGAAGCCCATGAAGCGAGACACGAATTAATTCACTTTTTTAACGTATAATTTTATTTATTCCTTCATTAATCAGTTGGGCCAGACGGGCGAAAATTCAATTTAATCTGGCAATTTAAGTTTCTATTCGCAAGTTTGCAAGTTTTGTTGTTAGAACTGTTTTTTCCATTTCAACAGTTTCACAGTTACTACAAATAATCGTTCAAACCCATCCAGAAATGACTTGAAATAGATTTTTCAGGTTTGCCCGGAGACACTTAACTCCAAAGCGTAATTATTCAATTGCGTGACCAGTTTATGATGTTTTTGTTCTAGATAAGTAATTATTTTCAGTTCATATTTTCCGTTAATGGAATGTGTTATAATAATATATGTAATGTGTCTAATATGTGCATAATGACCAAAGTCTCTCGAAAAATTGCTTTTGGGTCATCGATAAAAGCATATTCTGCTTGCACAAACACCTTCAGATTTCATTCAAGCCGAAATAAGTGAACTACTGGAATTTATGGAGGAGAGGACGGTGAAATTAACAGAAACAGGAATGGAGGAAAATGAAAAATAAACACCATAATAATCGAACAAATGCCCCCGGCAAAACTATAGAAAAAGCGGCGAAGAAAATAAAATTAAAAAGGGATGAATTGAGCCGAGAATAATTCCAGTGAGCGACAAAGATACTTCGAAGAAGTCAACGAAGGATTCACATTTTTATGTTAGATAATGGTTGTAACCCGAAAACAATGATAATTTCCAAGAAAATGGCATAAAGCCGCCATTCTAGGACTCGCAAGGGAAACGCTTCAGTTTCTATTCCATGTTTTTCTCACTAACAATAAGGAAACACACTCTGAAGAATCCTTCGGCATAATACTTTCAGCCCCAAATCCGATTTACTCGTTCGGGCTTAGATGCCATTTTAATTCCGGCTTTTTATCCTCTTTTCTGTGTGTTTTTTTTGCTGCTCCATATTTGCCTCGAAAATTAGCTGCGATATATCAAAACTTCCACCTGTTCCAGTCACTGTTTCGAAAGCATTAAGTTGATTAACGTCGCAAATTAAAAAAGAGTCGGATATTAAAAGATCCCTTGGGCGCAACTTCAAATAAATTGTATATTTTTTTATTGAGAAGGCGTGGCTTTTGAAGAGTTTTTATGTCCACTAGAGGTGGGTTTTGTTATCAATCAAATCTGAGCGATTGGGTGCGTTATTTGGCCTGCTAACAAGGTTTTAATTGGGCAGACAGTGACGAAACTCGAGTGGGAAAATGCCACATTAACTCCAAATTTATAAAAACTGAAAATGAGTTTTGGTACGATACAAACATTAAATCTGAAGCCTGGTAAATGCGCCGTTTAGTTTTGCTGGAAATGTATAATCTTCCCGACCTAGATTACCTACAATCGGAAAAATGGTTATTGATCTGTATGAATTTCAAATGTCCCCGTTTTATAACAGTTTTGCCCATTTTCAATCAAATAAACGCGTATATTAAACTTCCAATTTTTTTTCGTTTGCCCTTAATTTGATAAATGAGGTTTCGCTGTTAGTGCGTCCTCTCAATGGCCTCAGTTTCGTGACGCGCTCAATAAACAATCAACACTTCTTTTTACGGCTGTTAATCGAATGTTTTCTGTTTTGGCCAATTCTTTCGTATATTAGTCGGATTGCGTGATCGAAATTCAATCCTGCCATTATACCTTTTTTATCACTTGCATAGCCTTGTTTATTGAACGTGATGTGGCCGATTAATAACACAATTTTGACCAATACGGCCGAGTTTAAAGATCGTCGCTATTTGTGCTTCGGATTTCTTTTGTTAGTTAAATTGACTGTTGGAGATTGCGTTGGAGAGATTTGGAAAATTCGATTTTATAGTCTGCTCTTTTGAGTCTCCAAACCTTTCTTGCTCGAGAATGGGGCTATCATCCTTTTACTTTTGCTCATTCTTTTCATTTTCCACTGAGCCAATTTCCAGCAGTTTTGTCTTTCTGCTGCTTATGCCATTTTTCGCTCTCATTTGAACAAATCGAGGTTATTTTTCTTGTTAAAAGCGATATATTTATGCCCTAATCCGCGCTTAAAAGTGTTCAACTGTCTCCAGCTTGGATTACAGTCGAGCATGGAGTACATGTAATAAGTTTCACTGCGGAGGGCGAAGTTTATTTAATTAGCCTCTTGAGGCGAACTTAATAAGGATGAAGTATGCGAATTTCTGAGGAAATGGGGACTTTTACTATCCATTGCCGAATAAATCAGCGCTTGCCTTGTTGGAAAGGGAAATTTTATTTGAATGTAGGTATCTAATTCCTCAATAGTCTTCATAAGGTTTAAAGGCCTCAATCTTCATTTGCACTTTGCGAATTACTAAAGCAGTTTCATCGCGCTAAATATTTCCATAAAACCAATTTAGATACAAAAATTACCAACAGTAGGAATGCTAATCTAAACAAACTCTTGGAAGGAAAAAGATGAAAGCAAACAGATTCGCTTCAAAGCACCGTGGACTTTTTGCTTATTAAAAGTTTATCCAGGCGAAATTTTTAATCTAAATTTATGTCAACGTTAGCTTAAATGCCGATAAAAACCACTTGAGAGTAATAAAAAAAAGGAGTATATTTGGAAATACTGATCATCTTTCCGCACGGTTGGGAATTTGCCTCATTAAACTGGAAAATTGCCTGAAAATTAAAAATTTTATTGCCAGTTGTGGTTGGCGGAATAGTAGAACTGGAAATAGTTTTCGATGTTGAAACCATTTTCTTCTAATAAACAGTTTCAGACAGAAAATTACAGAAAAAGTTCAAGATTCGTCTTCCAAAATCACTGGTTTTTATGATTATTAATTATTATACGATGATTATGAGCCTTCGAAATTGGCCATAAAAAAATCTATTAAAAGCCCTATACAGCAAGCACATTTTCACAAAAGCCTGCACTAAAAGCAGGCAGAGGAAAATGGCCAGTTTCCTGCAGCAAAGTGATCGTTTTTCGCTCAGAATTACGCTTAAATAATTACAAAAATCGCTTATTTATGAGCCGCGGATACACTGTGGTTACCCTAAATCAGGCAGATGGCATATTGGGCTTTTAAAGTGTCATCATTTTAACTTTTTCGCCCAAAAAAAGTTCCCCGCATGGAAGTGTGAAATGTGGCAAATTTCCCAACGGGCTCCATAATGCTACATCATGAAAGTAGTATTTCGTGTTGACGCCACTTTTGAACTTGTAAACTTAACCAAGAGCTCAGCTTGTTTTTTGCTGTTCAGATAAAAAAAAACCAGCAAACAAGAGATTTTTTTGAACATTTTGTTGCTGGGTTGATTTCCTGCGAGTTTTCACTCAAACAATTGACCGGACGTTCAAAGGGAAGTCCAAACTTTAATTAAGAAGCCGCTTAACAATCAATCTGGTCAGTTGAACTGGAAGCTTTAAATTGTGAGCGCCCTGAAGCCGAAACATGGCCCGATTGATTGAAGACAGTTGAGGATTCATCAATATCTGGCGCAAGTGGCACTTTGCCTACGGGATTTAATTAAGTCGCAATAGTTGAGGTTCTCTTTCAGTCTTTGAAAATGTATGTTTCCGTTCGTTCGCTGTTCCATTTCTTTGAATCTCGGTTAAACCCCAGGAGGAAATTAATTGAGAACTGAGACACACAGCGGAAATCCACACGCTATTCCATTCTATTCGGTTGATGTTGGCGCGGTTCGCAACTCGCAGGCGCTCGGTCTGGAAAACGTGGCTATCCAGCATCCAGCATCCAGCTCGAGCAGGATCGGGGAACTTGAAAGAGTCCGGCCCCATCCAGCATTTGTGCCGAATACGGGCAGGAGCTCGTACTTGCAACAAGCATGTTTTGACCTCGTCGCAAAAAGCCACCGTTCAATCGGCCTAGTTTAGCAGTTTCCACACTGGAATGATGAAAGAAGGTTAGTAACGTTTTTTGGTCTGATTGCATGAGGTTGGAGGTGGATTTCGAGTGAAACCACCCGATTTTTATGCGAAGCCAATGCGGGTGTTTTGGCGCCAATTGAAACTGGGAAGTTTTCAACAAGTTCAGAAACTTTCGGCATTATTTTTGCTTTCGGTGAGAATTTACCAGATAATGAGACTCAATGAAGACAATGAGAATGATGAATTTACCAGACAAAAGTAGTTTTCTTCGGGTTGTTGTCCAGTTGAGGGAGTGCATTTGCCCAATTTACGCTTCCCAAGCATGTTTAGTTCAGATATGGTTACTCTTCTCGAGCTAACGTTGACTTGCTCATTGGAGAGTTTTTAAAGGATTTTGTAATACCTTTCATTGGATTTTATTTTGAAGATCTTTCGGTAGAAGAATTGGAAAAAGTGAGTTGAAAATTACCCTCTTTGGAAAAGCTGGAAGGTTGAGTAAGTTGAAAAAATCATCAGTTTTATGGTTGTCCAGTTATTTAATTCTCTAAAGAATTAATTTTTGTTTTATTATTGTAAATGGTTGTACCTTGATTTCTTTGAAAATCCTCAATTTTATGACTATTTTCTATCCAGTTTCATAAAAATATGTTGTTTTATATTTTTAAGTCCGTCGCTGCCTTCACACTGTGTACTTTCATTTTTGCCATAATTGAATTCGAAAAAAGCACAAAAATATCGAAACTTTCGACATCACCAAACCCGTCATGAGATTCTGATGTACGCAACTAGAGATTTTAAAGATGTGCTGATCTGATGAAACATTAGGTGGATTTAGCCTGAATAAAACACTGTCAAAACCTGGGTTTGCGTGTGTTAATTTCAGGGTAAACCCACCTGATGAGAGCTAATAGGCTGGAAACCGGTCCTGGGTCGAAATAGGCCTGAAACTAGCACGATTTTTGAAGAAAGAAGAATCTAGAAGAATTTTGAAAATGTTTCCTAGCTATTTAATTATATACTAATATCAGTTAGTTCTGAATCTTTAGGGTTCATCAAGACTGAAATGGTCTACAGACAGAAGTTTGAAAAATTCAAGCAAACATTTCGAGGTTTTGTTCAAAGTGCATTTTAAGGCTTATAAGCTTCCTTCAACGCTGAGTTCCACATCATTCCCTAGCAAATTCAATTGATTTTGAACCGAAATTGTTTTATATCAGAAAACATCATGGAATGAGTGAAGACAGGAAATAAAGCCATAAAATAATGCAATTCCGAAACGGGGTGTAACCCAATATCCGACATTATTCTGTAGCATTTACTGGAAAGGCCTTTTCAAGTTTTGCACAGACTTCCAATTGCCTTGTCGCATTATTTGCCACATTATTGTGCGTTTTCCAGATATTTCAAAGCGTTGCTCCGAATCGATAGAATGTCACAAGTTGGCCTTAATAGGGCGTTTAGTGATTCGTTTGGCTGGATTTTCGATGCTTCAGCTCGAGAAGGAGCGTTAATTGTCCATTAGTTCCGCAGTTAATTTGATTATTTTGTTGCTAAAAAAATGGCTTTGGAAAACTGCGAGCTGCCGGACGTTAATAGGAAAGTTGCGTGTTTATATAAAGTTATTTCCATTGAGGCTCTTATGAAAACCGTCGGAAATCAGCAAGTAGAACTAATTGGCCAATTAAAACGTTGCCGGGAAAATCAGAAAATTTTCCTCTTCACATTGTGCCAACCGGGCGAGTGCCCTTGGAATCAAAGCGTCACCTCCCGGGCATTATAAAGATCCAATTTACGGCAATTTGGGCGAAGTGAAACAGTAAACTTCGCTGATCAAAAATTGAACATTTAAATAAATTTTTGAGGCGGAAAATAAATAATAATCTTCCTCGAATACAGGTATGAACAATCTAATAAACGAAAGCGATATCGTCAGGAAATTCAATTACCCATCCTTACAACGAGCACAATTTCCTGAAATTAACTCGATTATCATTAAAAGAATGACATTTGAGGTAGTGGAGAATTTCCACCATATATTGCCTGCAGGAGAATTTCTTAGTTAATCGATTTGACACAGCGCGGTTATATATATTTAATCTTCTTTGAACTAGGTGAAGGAAACTATTCAAACTGGCTGGTTAATTGATTGTTTTGCGGTTGGTGCAATTTAAAGTCGGTTGAAAACAAGGGCGGATCCAGGGGGGGATCATGGAAGTCATTTCTATCTTCATAGACAACAAAAGACTTGGTTCCGCCCCTGGTTGAAAAAAAAATTGCTTTAACTATAGCCCAGCAACGAAGCTTTTTTGACAAAAGTACTAAAGATTGCTGTTCCCAACGCAGAAAACCGCACGTTTTTGTCGTGATCTGCATTCGAGAAACGAATTTTTAAAGTTTGGTCAGTCTTTTGAGCCCCACTCAGAAAACTTTGTCTTTATCTGCTTTCTTATCCCAGACAAAAGTAAACCTTCTTCTGCATAAAAACCTAGGATTTCTAGATTAGAAACTTGGTTAGCAGCTTTGTGATCTGCCCAAAAGAAAAACTTTCTTGAAACTGTTCTGAAGCTGATCAAGTGAGGTTTGCTTCTTCTATAACTGAGCTTTTTGATGCGTGATGCGATCCAGAGCAGATTTGTGCCGCTTTTCCTTTTACAGAAACCAATTTTTGTGGTTTTCTGCAATTTAAGTGGCGTCAACACCATTTCCAAGAATCAAGTTTCAGCAAATATTGATATTGAGCCTTTTTAGTGCATAGCAAGATCCATATGCTGTAAACCTTCGGTTTATCCATGCAGCAAATAGGGCTGTACTTCAAAAGAGACAAAGGCCCTTGCAAGGGAAGTGGCGCGTTCCGAAAGAATCGACCATTTCCGTAAATATAATCGAGCTCTCCTGCTCTCGTTTGAGCTAAAAAAAAACTAAAATTCGTTCTATCAACAGCGCGTTTTAATATTCAGTGACTGACGAGTATAAGGGGAATTATTCAACAACTTTTGTTACTTAGTGTCATCCACAAATGTGTCTCTGGAACACCACTTGGCGTGAAGCGGTTTTGAGTGTTCCCGAAAAGGATTTCCGTCTGTGCATAATAAGCGTGACGAATGAACAGGAATTCAACAGGAATGGCTTTTATTAGGGTTTCTACCACTTTGCGGTAGCTTTAACTGATTTACATTTGGGCATATAAAACGGGGGAATAGATTACGCTAAACATGGAAATTTGTGCAGGAATCGCGTGGGGAAATCAAGCGATCCCCACTGCAAGTTAACAACTGTAATTCATTAAATTTTCTGTGGATTTTCATATTTAAATATGAATAGAATGTGAAACATTTATACAATCGGAGCCCAAACAGTTTGTTGTATTTTCAACCACTGTACCAATATTTCGATACTTATTTTTCGTTTCTATTCAAATTTAGTTAAATCGTCGATGTCCCAAGTTTCACACATAAATCAGCTTAAAGTGTGTCGACGTTATTGCTGCTTTGCTTTGCTGAAATTTCCAGCTCCAATTTATGTATTAAAATGTTATAATGAACGACCATATTCCATCCTCTTATGTGCCAAAAATGCCCTCTTTTGATAGAAAATGATAATGAAAGCGTAGGTGTGAATAGCTGATCCTCAAAGCCATCCATCACATCGGTTTACGTTCGATTTTTTGAAACGAGAATATGTAAATCTGAACACTTTCAGCTGCTGCACTTGAGGAACATTGTGCCTCTGGACCAAATACCGATTTCCAAGTGTTTTAAATAAAACACCCAGAGTGTTGGGAAAATTGGATTCTTCTCAAGAAATCAGATACCCAAAATCCAGTAGTCAATGTTGATGTGTTATAAAACTTGTTATTAGAAAAGTTTCCGGATCAGGACCAGATTTTATATGATTCGATGTCATAAAAGATCGCATTTCATATTTGGGTCCTGAAACATGTATTAGATAATAAATTTTATATCTGGATATAAAGAAGGTCTTTTTTAGAGCTTTCTTATTATAATATATGAGGCGGTAAACATGTTATGTGTCCGCTGAGTTTCCCTGTTTATTCCTGTTAAATTAACTGATAACGAGGCAAAATCAACAGACACAATCTACACTTTTAATGACTGTTTATTTTTTTTCCAGCCGAAAAAGTCGTGGAAGAAAACAAAACGTGCGGAAAGATACTAACGGTCCTGGCATGGGGGCTCGTTGTGCTTACCATGCCGTTCTCCCTATTTGTTTGCTTTAAGGTAAGTCGTTTGAATTAGTCTCGTTAAAGTTTGTTTCCTTAGGATTCTTTGAAGTGATTGTGTTCGAATCCAGTCGATTTCCTTTCTGTTTATTGTAGAATTTTGTGCTACTCAGAATGCCATAGATTTTCGGTTTCAGGGGAAAGAACTGACGGAAATCTCTTTTCGATTAATTCATTAATTTCCACTGTAATGCGTCAAGTGAGTGGAAGCGGAAAGATTAATAATAGCGGGTTATTTCAGGCATTTCCTAGCTTTTGGTTTTTCTTGGTGCTGTTTCTCTCAATTTATTACTAAACCCATTAATAACGTCTGTATAAATTGCTGAATTTTTCGGGCTTTAAGATGGTGGTGAAAAAAATTGTTTACCCAGAACGTTTCTCAAGTAGGACCGGCTTGCATCTTCAGAGGTAGTAAAGCCACATGTGGCCTAACTTTCGCTACCTAGTTACTTTTAGTCAGTGCCAATGCCAAATATCTACAAACAATTAAAATTATGCGTCTGAATGTTAGTCAACCAGACGCTTTTGAGTAATTTTCAATTACTTTATAGGGCAACTGCAATTAGCTAATGCAGTTGATATTTCATACACATAACTCCTTACTGGACATACGGGCATTAAGTAATGAAAGCAATGAATCCAAACGTGAAGAAGCGCTGCAAAGAAAAATTGAATTTCGCTAATTATAACCAGAACTTTTGCCCATTATTTTCATTTTTCTTGTAAGTTCAGCTAGGAGAAACACCGAAGTTTGCAGCGCTTAATTAAACGTAATTTTTGCCTGCTGAAAACACTAATGGCCGATGCGAGTCTAGACAATTCTTCGACAAATACTAATTAAGAATGCTCAATTTTTACAGTAAATTTTCATTAAACAAGCGAGTGGAAAATATTATTTTTGCCAATTAAAACAGTTGGGTTTGTTTGCGGACCCGTACACCTTTCGGAGCTTCGAACAAAACGCAATTTTCAGTTAAACCTAAACAGCAATATAGCGTGAAAACGGAGACCAATGGAATGGCCGCTTTTGTTAAATTAGTGGCAGGAAATGTTCGAAACAGTCAGGAAATAGCAGGTAAATTAATTTTTCATAAACCACAAAAAATTCCTCACGCTATTAACAAAAACGTAAAGCAGTCACTTGATTCAACAAACAAGCATTCTAAAAATAGGCTGCGTTATACATTTAAACGCTGAAAATAAAATGATACATTAAGAAAACGTTAAAGCAATGAAACAGGTTTTTGGAAGATCTGCTAAAAAAACCCTTTCCGGTTACTTACTCACAAGACCGTCATTTAAAAGGGCTGAAGAGCCGTTTTGCTATTGTGGCCCTCCATAAGGGATTTCGCCACTGTTCCAGATCCGATTGTTTTAGGATTCCGAACACAATAAATTACCGCAAGTTGAAATATGCAAAAGCGGCATTGTTTCCTGGATGTAACATGGACAGCCTTTTGGAAATTGAGCTGACGGAATTTCCAGAATAAATGGCACATAATCTGCCCGATTATTTCCAGACAGACGAATTCTCGTCATCAGAGCATTACTGTTCTACCACGTGCAAGGATCAAGTCGTATCGTATTGCAATCTTGAACCATGGGATTAGCACTGTTTTGCAAAACTTCAGAAATAATTACAGTATTTTATTTATTTAAAAAACTGTTATTTCTTCTGAGTCTTTAGTCGTCTGTTTATCCTGAGCCATTCGACAGATGTTTTTTGCGGCCGGTTTCATTTTTCGCACGAAATTCACTTAAACCTTTTTTCTTATTTGTGAATGAATTTTTACGACTATGTAGTAGAAAAATCATCGATTTGTCTTCAAAATGTGAACCTGGCTATCTTAGTTTGGCCGCTTTATTTATTTTTATTATCAAATGTTGATTTGCTTCTTTAATCCATTTTACCTTTTTTATATTTTGCACTGTTAGCTCTAATTCCCTCTGATTTTTGGATAATTTTTCCAAATTAGGACTCTATCAAGTGGTGTTTCATTAGTTCAGTTTTAATTTTCTATTAACGAATAAAAATGGTATTCCGGCTGTGTTTCGAATTTTCGTTTTCTTTGGATATTAATTGCAAAAGTTCGAATTTATTCCAGTTTTATTACATTCGAATGATGCCGTCAAGGACTCGACAAACTGGTTCTTACGCTCTTAATTCTTATTCTGTCAAAAAATAGTTATCCGCAAAAATCCTGAGAAAACTCGAAAAATTCGTGTTTTATTTGTTTAATTGTGTGGCTTGTTTAGTCTTTCTATTCTATAAAAATTGTGAAACACACCGACTGATATCAAAGAAGGTTCTCGCGACTGAAAAAAACGCCCTTGTTCATTGGAATGTGATCGAAAAACGTTCGAATCGCCCGTAAATAGCCCATATAAAAAATGCTAAAGCATCAATCAAAATCACTTCGTGTCCAGGACAAAATCAAGGAAAATCTATGGGAATGAGAAGCGAACGGAACAAACTGTTGATTTCCGTTCGAGGGAAAATCTTCCTGAAATTCGATGATTGAAAAAATTATTTACACAACATGAACTTAAAGAACCACAAAAATGGCAAAGATACGAATCTATTGATAATTTAAACATTATTAGTTCAAAGTATTTAAGCAGATAGAAAAAAAAAACATTAAGTTTAATGCAAATCTGTCTTCGAAATGGGGAAAAATGCAGTTGAATATGAAAGAAACAAATCATGAATATAGAACTTTTTGCGGTTTGAAAAAACCCCAACTTGCTCAGTGCAATATGGTCCAAAAATGTTTAAATCGTCCGTAAAAAACTCTTAAAAACAATGATAAACTGAAAACATCTTCCTGGTAATCGACGTTTGCGCTTAACAATGAATTAGACTTTAAAAAATCGAAAAAAAAAGACTATGAACTTTCGAAATATCGTCGGAAATGGCAAAAGTGGACAGTGATCTATTCTCAATTTTGAAATAATTGATTAAATAAAAATTGACCAATGGAAAATATAATCAATAAGAAAAATCGAGTGAGGAAGAAACTATTTAAAAAAACATTCAATATCGTCTAATTGGGAAACATACAGTTGAATATGAAAAAAAGGTTTAGCAAATTAATTCTAAAAACTAAATAAGAAATAATAAATACGTGGACAAAAATAAACGCTCCATTGGTGGATTCAGCAGCTCAAAACACGTGAAAAATTAATACTTTAAAACAAAATTGAATGAAGTCGTACAGTCCAATTTAATGTGTTTTGCACTCGTTTTTTGCGCATAGCTATTTTTTAACGACACGTTTTTTTCATATAAAATCAATGGGAACTCGAGGTGCCTTTAGGCACGTGATAAATCGATTTTAAACGAAAAATTCCTTTTTACGCAGAGTTTTTAGAGCCTATAGAATAGAGGTTTACCGGGCAGAAAGTCTAGTGCATGGAAAGAATTAAATAGACAACAGTAAAATAGATATTAGGCTGTTTGAACGAGAAATTTGAACAGAACCCTGAAGATGCAAACCGCTCGTGCTTGTGAAACGTCAGAAAGAATATTTTCCACCACGGTTTAAAGCCTGAAAAACTGCCCAGCTTCAAGCATTGGGCCGCAAAAGCCCAACTTTTTCACCCTATAATTGTAAAGACCCGATTTTTCCTACTCAAACAAATCCTCTTCTATTAAATGATAACAAAGGAGCCGAAAGAAACATAAAACTATCTGGGAAAAAGATCACGAAACTATTTCTATCTGTCGAAATTAGTACATTATTTTCAGTCGCTACTTCGTTTCAAATGTCCCAGCCTGGAAAGCCTGATAAATAGGTGCCGATATATCTTCTATTCCTATTAAAAAGAAATGAAACTTGAAAGGAGCCTTTGCACCGAGCCCTTTAATAAGCATTTACAGGGCGTGTTTCAGTCCCGAAAAGCCAGGATATATTTTTCGTTTATTTGTACTCAACAATCCAACATCAATCTTCATTGCAACTAATGAACAAAGTAATTGCTTTCCGCTTTTCCAAATGCCCTTAATTTGTCTTTCGATCATGCCACCAGACGTTTTGTTTCCGGTTTCCAGCTCCGCAGGAGATTCTTTTGAATATTTAAAGTTCAGCAGGGAATAAAACCGGCCGAAACGTGTCACAGGAGATGCCGCCTGGATTCTGGACTGTATTGTTTACTTAGGGGGCAAAAGGAGAAATCTATGTATTAGCCTGGAAAAAATCCTTGAAAGAACTATTTAAATACTTTAGTTTTATTCATAGAAACTGTAATTTCAGGTGGTGCAGGAGTACGAAAGGGCGGTTATCTTCCGTCTGGGGCGTTTGCTTTCTGGAGGAGCCAAGGGACCAGGTAAGACAATTCCAGGCAAAATATCATAAAATATCAATAAAATGTTTTAATTGAAAGATAAGTTGTTTCATAGTGGGTTTATTCAACACCGTCTACTCTCTGGATAAATTATTCGGAAAATCCTCTGATGAACATGAAAGTGATAACGCCAAGTGTTTTATGTGGAAGTTGGGCGAAATTAATAACCGTTGCTGTCGCAAAAGTGAAAAGACCCAGACAGTTTACAAACACACGGGAAAATTAATAGTTTGCCTTAAGTAAGTTCCTGATTATCATCGTCAAGCATACAAAGATGATTAGCTGATTTAATCGCATTTTGTGTTGAACTAAGAGCGACTGTGGAATTGGAAAAGTTTTCAAAGTGTGCTCCAGATTAGATTGATCGTGTTTGATAAAAGCGCGATGTTGATTAAAGTGTTTTGAAGATGGAAACCGGTTTAAAATCGCGTTGAAATCCGGTTGAATTGAAGCTGGTTGTAGTCGATATTCTTGACAAACTGAATTCGATCAAAATGTTTCGAATTCTATTGGAGGTTGTTTGTAAGGAAGCGAGGAGTTTTGTGAAAAACTCAATTTACGATTGAAAGGCTTTTCAGGTTGGTGGTTCGAAAGGATAGAGAATTTTGACCCATTTTCGGTTTGATCGGCCACAATATTTAATCGAGTGTCGAACTAACCATGCAACTTCCATTTTTGGCAGCAAGACTTGAAATATTTCCGATCGGTTTAGGGTTTTGCTCAAAAAGTCCCATTCTCCCAAAATACCTCAAATTCCACACCGACTTCTAGACAAAATTATTTTTAACCCTATATATCCGATTTATTATGGACAAACACCCTGATAAGTTCCAAGGTTCGAAAACAATCCATCCAGCTCGAAAAACGTACACTCCAAACAAGTGAAAGCTTCTGCATTATTCAATCTCCTTCACTTGGCTCATTGGAAAGAAAGCAAACTCTCGATTTCCATCAGTGGATCAGTGGCTCAAACACGTATTGATTCTCCCCTTATTGGGCTGAAACTAGGGGTCCATTATCAGTTAGGTGCAAACTGTAAACAACCGGATTCACCCTCGATAATTAACTCGCGGCAATCGTTCGATTCTTGCCCTGTTCAGTCTGAAGAGCTTTTGCTTATCGGGTTACCCAGAAAGTTCCAATTTAGCCTCGATGATGCCCTTATCAAATGGAACTGGGCTGCCAATGTTCTTGATGCGGCAAAATCAACAAAGCTTGATGGGGATTTCATCAAGAGCTTCTTGAAAATTATTCTGGACTTAACTGACAAAATCGAAAATTGAGGAACATTGGGTTTTTCGTGACCCGAACGCGGAAGCTTAAGCGTGTTATTCTACTGTTGGGTTTTTCCGTAAAGTTTCTCCGGTCGCCCTTAAGGACTGTTGAATGCCATTAAAGTTTGTTCTAAACTGAAAGCTTCGGACCCAAACTCATTAAGCATACGCCAGAAAATACTTTGTTTGCCTTCACGCGGCTACGGGGGCTGAATTGCGCAATATTTACCAGGTTGGATGGTATTAAAATAACGGATAGTTTCCAGGAAAGTTGTGTGCACTTGGTAGGAAAAAGTGTAATTTGTAGTCGATAATTTGGGGTAATGGACGTGGATTCCGGTCAGGACGATGAACCGAAATATATTGACTTTTATTCCACTGGGTTGAAACCAGGTGGTCTAAAAGGGAGATTTGATTTAAAATATTGTTCTACATTTAGTTTGAAAAAAAAAGTTATTTTGAGTTTCGCTGCTAAAATGCACAGGGTTTTATGAAAAAAATAAAAACCGTTGTATTCTGCGAGAAAATTACCATGCGATATTTTCCAGAAAAAAATAGAAGACTCCAGAATACTGTTTAGGTGCACATTGAATAGGAAACAAAGGCTTTTTTATTTTTTGTTGAAATGCACAGTTTTTATTCAAAAAAATTAAAACGTTTATTCTGCGAGAAAATTCGCGTAATACTTAGAATTTGATGCTTTGCAGACAAATTTCTGCAAAAGAATATTTTTTATCGATAAAATGTACAGTTTTTGATTTAAAAAATTCTAATGGTCTCAGAAATAAACCCAATATTTAACGTTTGATCCCTTGCAGAAAAAAAAAAAAAACCATTGGTTTTTCTGCAAACAAAAATTATTTTCTGATTCCACACTAAGTTGGGCAGAAAAAAACGTTTTTTTGCAGAAATACACCGTTTTTGATTAAAATTTAAAAAATTAAAGCGTTGCATTTTGCTACATTCAGCTTCTAAAAAATATCTTTCTAGTGTTTCTGTTTTTGGTTACAAAAACAATAAAAACCGGTGTTTTGCCCGGAAAAATTACATCTTTAATAACAGTAGAAACTTTCAAGACAAAAAAGCAGATCTTTCAATGGCTCTTCGGAAAATTAACATTATTTTTCAAATCTACATTTAGTTGAGAAGAAAAAAGCTCTTTTGAGTTTTTCTGCTAAAATGTACAGTTTTTGATTGAAAAAGTAAAAGCAATTGTATTCTCCTGGAAAATTATCGAAGTATTTAACATTTGAGAACTTCCGGGAAAAACACAGTTTACCGCAAATGTTTTTCTCCAAAAAAATTATATTCTTTATTTCTACATTCAGATTTTAATCAAAAAGCTATTTGCAGTTTTGTTTTTCAGTTAATTCTACTCAAGTAGACAGTTTTTGATTAAAACATTAAAAATTGATTAAAATTTTGCTTTGCTGCGCCAAAATCAAAGCACGCCAAAGGTTTCCCAACAAATAAAATTGATTTTTCAATCCTTTAATCAATATGGATGAAAAAACTATTTTTACTGTTCCTGTTAAAATGTTGAGAAAATGTTCACCGAGAAAATTGCCGCAATATTTTGCATCTCATATTTTCCATCAACAGCAACAGACTTCGTCCAAGTTTTTTCTGCAAATTAATATTATTTTTCGTTTTCACATTCAGTTGGGAACAAAAAATTGTATGTGAGTTTTTGTGCTAAAATGGACAGTTTTTGATTAAAAAAATGAAAACCGTTGTTTTCTGCGGGAACATTACCTCAATTCAATATTTGATAATTTCCATAAAATAAAATCAGTGCACGCCAATGGTTTGTCTGCAACCGTAAATTATTTTTCAATTCTACATTAAAATTTCACGAAAAAGTTTMTCTTTGTTTTACTGCTAAAAGGCACAGTTTTTCATTGAAAAAAATGTAATCGYCGTATTGTCTGAGAAAATTACCCAATGTTTAGCGTTGATAATTTAATGCAAAAAAATGGTTTGTCGGGAATTAAAAATTATTCATCAATTCTACATTTAGCCGAGAAGAAAACAGCTCTTTTGAGTTTTTCTGCTAAAATGTACCTAGAGTTTGGGATGTAAAAAAGAAAAGTCATCATATTCTCCTGGAAAACTACCGCAATATTTTACATTTGAGAAATAAAAAAAAGCAGTACACGCCAATGGTTTTTCTGCAAACAAAAATTATTATTCAATTCTACTTTTAATTAACTAAAAGGCACAGTTTTTGAATTTTCAAAAATAAAAATTTTTCCCTGAAAATTACCTAATATTTGCCACAAATCTACTGGGACTTTGTGGCCTTGTTTCCAAGTAGGAGGAGACGAAAAGACACACGTAAAAAGCATAAAAAAACTCGACTATTACATTTCACTTCTCAAGTTTAATAAAGAAAAAAAAAATAGTTCTGAAGAAAATCAATCGCATATTTTTTTAATCTCCTTATTTCCTTCCAGGCATTTTCTTCATCCTTCCCTGCATTGATGCCTACGCAAGAGTGGATCTTCGCACCCGAACTTACGACATTCCACCACAAGAGGTGAGTGATTTTAAACTTTCAACAGGCAAAACTCCGAAAACATGGAAATATACAGGGTGGTCATCTTCATTTTAACTAACTACCAAGTTAAATGTCGGTGCAAAATTCTATGCATCAACAGTCGAAAGAAAAGCGTATTTAAACATGGAAATTGTATGGCCCTTATAAAGGCCCAAATATATTCTTGTGCGTGTTGTTGCAAATATACCGGGCTTTAAAATAGTCGAAAAATCCCACTTAGTTTTCTACATCTACATGACCAGCATTTTTTTCATTTTCTGATGTTTAAGAGTGAAATACCAATCTTCTAAGACCCAACTACCACCATACAAGGTGTTCATAAAAGAAGGGCTCTGCTTTATTCGCAATTTTGATCACTGGCGATTTTTTCCAGGTGCTTACAAAAGACAGTGTAACCGTCTCTGTAGATGCGGTAGTTTACTACCGCGTATCAAACGCTACTGTATCCATTGCAAATGTAGAAAACGCCCATCATTCCACCAGACTACTTGCTCAAACTACCTTGCGCAACATCATGGGTCAGAGGCCCCTTCACGAGATACTCAGTGAACGAGAGAGCATTTCTCAGCACATGAAAGCTCTTCTAGATGAGGCCACCGACTCCTGGGGAATCAACGTGGAAAGAGTTGAAATGTACGTTAAACCCCGCTTTAAAGCTTTAGCTCGATTCGTAACCGAGCAATTTTCTTTTGCAGCAAAGACGTCCGCTTACCAGTCCAACTTCAAAGAGCGATGGCGGCTGAAGCTGAAGCTGCTCGCGAAGCCCGCGCCAAAGTAATTGCAGCTGAGGGCGAGCAGAAGGCGTCCAGGGCTCTTCGGGAGGCTTCGGAAGTGATTGGGGACTCCCCAGCTGCACTCCAGCTGCGCTACTTACAGGTGCGTAGTTTTTTGCATGTTTTACGGTTCTGGGTGTTGTTTTTTTTGTGCCAACCTGTGATCTAAGCTTGCATGTTTTGCAACTGATGCAAATAGTGTATATAGCGAGTTGGGCGAAATTAAGTGATTTAGAGTTTCACCGGATCGCCGATGCGACTGCTTCTGAAGGAAATTTTCTGCTGAAAATGGCATGGAAGCTTCGGGTGGAATTACAAATAGCTCGTTAATGACGGATGGGAGATTATTCGCAGAATATCTTGTTTCATTTCAATTTTTAATGAAAATCGCCGGTTTAATACGATTTTGATCCCAACCCGTATTGAAATTGAGTCTAGTAATGTTTCGCTTGCATGTGAATTAGAATTGATATTTCGCGGTGTTAAAATTGGATTTTTTCGTTTCAACTGCAAATTTTATGGGCAAATGCCGGAAGGCGAACTAGAGACTAGAGATTGCTGTCCATGGGTACAAAATTTCCCAATTAACCCCCATTAGGGCCAGCAAAACCTTTAAAAATCCATTAAAATCCCCATTCAAAACACTTGTTTGGCATCACAATTCTCTCAAGATGGGCCGGATGTCTAATCTATTCCCTCTAGCAAATAAAGAACGCGTTTTAATGGCTTAGCGGCAAAGATTATCCATTAAATCGGGTCTTTGTAAATTAAATGTGGTGGAAGAAAAGTGGTGTGCTTCAACGCTTTAATTGGAAAATGCCACTTGCAGCTAATTTTCCTGCGTTCGGAAATTAAGAAATTTGAATAGTTCTAAAGCATGATGGAAATGGAGTTTTATAATTGAAGCCTGCAGAAAAACATGCATGCGAAACTGCTAGGAATTGTTGCATCTTGATATACAAATAATTAGTTTTTTACTTAAAAATGTAATCTGTGACCTGATTAAACGCCGGGTTGTGTTTCAAAACCACATATGATTCAGTTTAGTAAATATTGTATTGAATGTAATGAAAAATGCTGCAAAAAATCAGTATGACGAAAGGAAATATGATTCCATTGGAATTAGAAAATGTATTTTGGCTGATTAGCCGGTCAACCTGGACTTATATGGAACAATCTGTTTTGTGGATCTGTGCAAAATTTATTCACAAAATCATGATACACTTTTTATGAAATTTCTACAGAGTGAAGACGAATACTTTATGGACATAAGTAATAGTAATCAAGTGCGACTTGACTAAGGGCTCCAAACACTCAACATTGGCTCATATTGTCAATAAAGGAGGTACATTTTCTTGGTTTGCAAACTGCAGTGTTTTCAAACAAAATATATAACAAATCTATAATATTCGAACAGAATCGTTCTTCTAAACTTTCGGGTTTAGGAAGTAAATTTGTATCGAAACTGGGCCTCGAAGGCCCGAGACGGAGTCTAATTTTCAATATTTTTACGCAAAAAAGTTTCTAAAGGCGACAACCTTTTATTTCACACAATTGGACTGGAATTCATGATTTTCTGGTAAATTTTCGCTCTCCCAATGAGAAACTGTTTAAAGAACTGAAAAGTTTCGTCTGCTTAAATATATATTTTTTTATTTATTTTATAACAATTTTTAGGATCCAATTAGACAGGGCGAATCACTTTATGTTAACGAAAATGTGGCATTCGCGAAACAACAACAATTCAAGTTGAAGCCGACATTAAAATGTTTGTTGGGAAACGCTTCGTTTTTTAGATACAGAGTGTAAATATTGGATTTTTAGTCCTTCGCACACAACTTCATATACTGTTTGCATGATGATTAATTTGAATTATTACCGCAAATTTCTTAGAAAAAATGCATACCAAAGAACAGTTTATTAAAAATATCAAGTGTTTTTGACTAAATGTGGCAAAGGAAAATTTTAGTTTTCCCCTGAAAACGCAAACAATTTATTCCTTTTCAATTTTTTCTCAACGCACAGGAAATTAAAAACTTTATTTAGTTATGATTTTTTTCAATAAGTTAAAAACCGTTTTAAGTCACTCAATAGTGAACTTTTGTTTATTTGTTACCACTACTAATAGCTACTTTTTCGCACTCTGGTCCAATTTATTGCACTTGTCAGTGGCGACGATTTTAAGATCTTGCATTGGTTTCCCCCCTCATTTATACGCCACTGGAGACACTTCCATTTGCCTGCAAAAACCAAAGCGCCTATGAGTTCTACACAAAAGAGTTCCATTGGCTTACTGCTGCAAAGTGAACCATTTTCGTGCTAAAATTGCTTTTTATAAAGAATTTTGCTAACCGTTCCCATACTTTTCCAATCATTCAATCTCCATCACTGATCGATTCGATCAGAGTGCGAAAAAGTAGACATAAATAACTGTAACTTGTGCACAAACGCTCATTCTTGGAGTTCGCACGCTTCCAAACATATTCGCAGGAAACCAAAATAAAATTACAAGGCACGGAGGGAAAAATAATTGATCAAAAATTTTTCATAAACATTTAAAACGGCAGGTTTTAAGTGTCTGAGAATGTTCGTGAAAATATACACAAGGTGGACACTTTTGGATAAAAATTGCTAGCGGGCAAATCAACAATTTTTCTAAAACTCCCCCAGACACGGCAACTGTTTGATTTATTTGCCTACATTTTGCAAGCAAAAATTCACAAAATTGGCTTTCAAGGGTTGCCGAAACTGCCCCTAACATGATTTTTTCAACTGCAACTTGTTGTCCTGTGGTGAGCAAACCAGACGAACATCAAACTTTAATGTTTAGTGTTTTTGAGGGTTTTCCTAAATTACAAAGTTTTAAAGTCCTTCGAACCTTGGAGTTCTCCGGACGTTCACATTTGGTCAAAACTTGTGAATCTTTCTAGGCAATCTGAGGTGAAAATAAGAAAATATCAACCCTGAAAATGCAGGAGCTCTGGAAAGTGTTTAGAAATCCCAAATCTATCTGAGGAAACCATGCGTTGTTTGCCCATTTTTGATGTAATAAAAATAGCAAATCCCTCAATTGGTAAAACTCCAGGAAAACTTCACAATGCTCAAAAAACTCCACTAAAACCCAAAATGTTCAGTCAATATCCATTTACGCTTACATTTCCATTACCAGAAAACTGTAGGTCACAGATTACATTTGAAAATCACTGAATTCAAGCGAGTCAATTTAAATGCATCGATCGAAAAGCCTCATCTGAATGGAACTCACTAAAGCGCAACTTCTTTCATTGAATGTTTTTTTTAAGACGCTGAATACAATCTCCACGGAGAAGAACTCCACAATTGTATTCCCACTTCCGATCGACATTCTCTCATATTTTATGAAGAATATGGATCGTAAGGAGTAAAGACCAATTTAGGCAAAGCGATCGTACCGTTTTGTTCGTACCCGAATGATACTTCTTCAGCTCAACCAAAACCACACATCAATCGTGAAGTTGCGGCAGTGTCATGAGGACCAAAAGTATTTTTTTAGAATGTTCTAGTCAATATAAAGTATTTTTAATAGGCTTACTTATCAACGATCTGTGTTAGTCACAAATAGTTTTGTTAGAAGTTTATTTATTGTGATCAAAGTTCAGACGCAGTGATTTTTTGCTGGTCATTTATATTTGAAACAAAAAGGGCCAAATGGCCTGGAAAATACTGCAGGAATGCAGGAATTTTAATGAGAACTTTGCAGTTCCGGCACCAAATGGTGGTGAAAACAGCACTAGGCGGGATTAGGGCACACTTATTAATTTTTCGGCATTTTCTGCACACTTAATTGTCAAGTGTTGGTCATGTTGCGGAAAATCGCTCAAATTAATTTACAGCTGTTGGTAGTTTCTATCTAGTCAAGTTTACCTAAGAAACTGACAAAATGCAGCAATTTACTTCTGCAAGTTGACTCGTAAAGGCATCGTTTTGGCAAAAAATACTAACACAAACCAGATTCGGAGCCTGTTTGTGCTGATATGGCGCAAAAGATGCGGTATGCAGGTAGCATTTTGCTGATTGAGGGATTTAAGCAATGGAAGCTTCTTATTGGGGCTTTCCACGTGAAACAGCAGCAAAACTTAATTAAACCCTTAACAATTAGGTAGCTTAGATAATTGGTACTTGGTAGGCTTTTATGGGTGCGTTTGCCCATCTAGATTTACGCAAATGAATAGTTAAAATTAGCTAGATTTTAGAGTTTAAAAGTTTCAAGTAGAGTTGTTCGAACGTATATATATTCAAAAATACATATATCTCTAGTTGGTAATCCAAAATATATCCTATATATCAGTGTTGATTAAATTACACATAAATGTCTAGCTCATAGGTGTGAAAGAGAGTATTTCTAAAGTTCGGGTAATCAGGTCATTGGTTATATTTTGACCTTAGCGCAAGCAAACTATGAATGTAGGGCATGTCATTGGATTTTAAATGGTGTTTGTTCCTTTCTAGACAATGTCGAAAATTTGCCATGGCAAATTTTCCACGATCGTATTTCCAATCCCGCTCAATTTTGTCACCCCATTCATGAAAGACTTTAAGGGTCTCGATTTGCTTAAGAGCAACGTCGTTAGTGATAAGAACAAAGAGCCGTTGGTTCCTATTGCTCAGTAGCCCTAAATTAGTGCGTAAACCTTCAAAAGGTCTTTTCTACAGTTAAAGGGACACATCTGAGACAAAGACCTTTTCAGTCCACCTTATTATAGGACCAGCAGAAAGTGTCCATTGACTCAGTGAAGATTTTCTGCTGCTGAATGCAGAGTTTTAAGGCCAATAAATGGTAGCTCGTGATTATTGGCCTTAAAATTATTCTCGTTCATGCTGTTTCGTTGCTTAGAAAATTATCAGCAAAATGCTACTCTCTACTCATATGCTGTGAGTGAGTGCAAGCAAATCACTCTAAAAGAAAATGGTGTATTCTGTTGGCTTTTCCTGCTTTTCAAGCGAAAATCTAGAAAGTTTATTCACTGTTCGTGATGTGACCAAATATTCAATTAGATTATCGGTTCAGTTCAGCAAATATTCTCTAATATCGTTAGTCTAAATGTATAAACGAGAAAAGTAAATATATAGTTTCGATATGTGTTTTAATTTCCTATAAAATTATAATATATGGGTATTAAATGTCTCAATGTGAAAATATCCGGTGGAACCTCTAAATAATTATCGCAGAAGATTGGGTGGGTGCAAAAACGTTTTAGTGCTTAAAAATAAAAATCGGCACTTTTCTTAACACTCGGGCAAGTCAGGGGCAATTTAAATGAAAGTGCCCTATATTAAAGAAACGGTCCTTTAAACCCAATAAGTTTTTTAATCACCAAATTCCATCTGATGTCTTCACTCACCTCTTAAAGCTACTCACATTCTTTAAAAGTTTGATGGAATTTATTAAGGAATTCCTCACCCTCATCCGTCTGAAATACATAATTAACGAATAATTTCGGATGGTTTGGGTCTGCATTTTGAACATTGATTGGCGATTTAATTGAGGAGGAGATTATTTAGAGGTTTGACTGAATATAGTTGTTTAAGGCACGATATAAGTCGTAACTAAATCAGTGTTTTCTTCACCTAATGTCTATAAGATTATAAACGAATTTACTGTGTATTTTACAGATGTCTATTGGTGCGCAAAGTGCATTTGATTGATTTTACTGAACATTACGAAGGAAAAAACACTCAGCTGGAAATTTGATCAGTTACCTTTTCGTTGGGGCTCATCTAAAATTTATTGCAATCTACTCAAGATGTATGTGCGCCTTTTTTTCTATTTGTCTGGGCATTAAATATTCAATTCTCAAGCCGACTGAGCGGTTTAGTCACTTTTTTGGTCTCCTTATGCTGGATTTACATCAAATACAGACTGTGCACCATGGTACTTTTATAAACATACTATTCAGCACCTTTTGTATAAGTGTACACATTTGAAGTTCATTAAATCATCTAAAAGAGTAACTAGTTTGCATTGGCGGCAGAAACCCACTCTTAATTAAGGTTTGATAGCGCAAAAAAGTGTATTATACACCTAACACCTATGATTTTCAAATAGTCCGCACATTTCGATGTTTTCAATCTGCACTTAGATCTCTAACGTGTGTGCTTATGCTTGCAAGTGAATTGTTCATGTGCAAAAGTGTGCAAACTATTCAGACTTATCAAAGTTCGCTAAAGTAAGCTTTTAGTGTAACGTCGGTTTGGTAAGTAGCTTTATTTACTTATGGAACAAACAGGGACTTAGTTCCTCATCGATAAGTGTGCATTTTTGTCCAAATTGACTAGTTTCAGCCTCGCTTCGTCAAATCGAATTTTTCCTACTAAATGGACAAACATTTTCACTTTACTTTTCCACAGACCCTGAACACTATTTCAGCGGAGAAGAATTCGACAATTGTGTTTCCGCTTCCGATTGACATGCTCACCTACTTCGTGAAGGCTAAAGAGGCAGCCACAGCCAATGCCAATGCAAATTCAATGTATGGAAATAAAGAATGAAGAGAAATGAGAAAAGAAGAATAACGAATGGAAATAAAGTAGCATTTTAACTAAATTATACTATTTAGATTTGCGTTTATTTCTGAACACTTAAAACAAGTTTTGTTATTCCTGACGTTTCGAAAGCACGAGTGGCTTGCATTTTCAGAGGTGATTGCTGCGCCGGCCACGGCTGCAAAGACTCACTCTTTTGATAACGCGCAATTTCCATTATTCTTGTTGTTTCTTTCATCATCAAGAGGAACTGGCTTGCTGCCTATGCATTAATTAAAGGAGAAATGTACTTGGTATTTTACTTACTAATTTTATCTCATCTTTGCGCTTGAATAGTTAAGTTTTCAGTAGATTTAGACCAGTGGTAGCTTCAACAATTAATTTTAAGTCTTTTTTTAATTTTCTTCTAACTCTATATGAAGGGGTTTCTGTGCACCAGTTTTCAAATGTTTCTTCGCAATAATTAGATTTAAAAAAATTCAGGAAATTAAATAACTAATTACACTACAATCAAGACTTTGGCAACTAAAGCACTGATTTTCTCGAATAAAACAACTTTGTGTATAGTACTGGTGAGTTTTTCGGTGTTTTAGGCCGTCGTGGAAGTCCGAAAAAATTGCAAAGTTTTTTGTCAYTTTTTATGCAAATTATATCAACCTCTTGCACTTAAACCAAAAAAAATGTAAATGTGTGATTAAAGTCAATTATTGGYCTGTGTTTTTTTTGTGAAACTGGTTTTTGCRAAGCATTTTTATAGCCCGATTGACTATTTTCATTTTTTCGAGTAGTGCCAAGGTGGAAAGTGAATTTGGGCCTCTCAAGTTTCTCAAAATACCTCGACTGCTACATCATTTTCATCGGAAAGAGACAAGGAATGCAACGAGCGAATTAAAAGACACCGGAACCTTTCCAGTTCACAAATAATCAACATTTTCTGTCTATTTTGAACGGTTTTTGCGCAGTCGCACTCTTCAACGGACGATATCTTCCTTATTATCGACCCACAACCTTCACACTCGATATTGGGTAGCTCCTTAGGTCGGAAACAATCCAATAAGGGCAAAAAACAGGATTGTGAAATTTTGATTTATGGTCGAAAATTTCATAAGGAAGGACTAAGAGGTCAATTTATCGAAAAAAAGCAAGTTTCTCAAAATACCTCGACTGCTACATCATTTTCATCGGAAAAAGACAAGAAATGCAACGAACTGATTTAAAGACACCGGGGAGTTTCCAGTTCCCAAATAATCAACATTTTGTGTCTATTTTGAACGGTTTTTGAGCGGTCGCAATCTTCAACGGACGATATTTTCCTTATTATCGACCCACAACCTTCATATTCGATATTGGGCAGCTTCTTAGGTCGGAAACAATCCAATAAGGGCAAAAAACAAGATTGTGAAATTTTGATTTTTGGTCGAAAATTTCTTAAGGGGGGAGAGGTATATTTTTCMAAAAAATTCRAGTTTCTCAAAATACCYCGAMTKCTACATCATTTTCATCGGAATGAGACAAGGAATGCAACGAGCTAATTAAAAACCACCGGGGCCTTTCCAGTTCCCAAATAATCAACATTTTCTGTCTATTTTGAACGGTTTTTGCGCGGTCGCAATCTTCAACGGTCGTTATCTTCCTTATTATCGACCCACAACCTTCATATTCGATATTGGACATTCTTAGGTAGGAAACAATCCAATAAGAGCAAAAAACAGGATTGTAAAATTTTGATTTTTGGTCGAAAATTTCGTTTCAAAAAAAAATTCAAAAAAGCCGACAAAGAATGCAACGAGTTAATTAAAAGACACCGGAACCTTTCCAGTTCCCAAATAATCAACATTTTCTGTTCATTTTGAGTCGTTTTTGAGCGGTCACGATCTCCAACCGATTATTTTTTCTCAGCTAAGCTTCTCAGGTCCCAAACAATCCAATGATCGCAGAAAACACGGTAGTGAATTTTGCCAATTTTGTGGTAAAATAAATCAACGTCCAACTAATCAAATTGACAACACTCGAATCAAACTGTTAATAAAACCAATCAAAGTAGGAACCAACACTCGCCATTAATTCCCTTTAATGAGACACTAAATGATTTTCAATGGGACTGTCATCCAACAGAAGTTTTAATTAATTTATGTCCGAGCCCAACTGAATCCGCTCTAATTGAACTAAATGAGGCCTCCGATATATTCAGAGTGTTTGCGATGCGAATTGACTTTGAGCGAAATAAGGTTGGCGCAAATTTACCTTGGTCTTGTTGAATTTTCGCCAACAAAACGCCCCAAGAAAAATAGAACGGTAAGTTTGTATGGAAACTTTGTTAGTTTAAGGAAACTTTCCTAACGGATGGATCTGAGCAGCCACTTCCACATGTAGGGAAACTGGGGAGAACTGTTTCAGTCGACTAGAACCCGGCACGATAATTTAGCTTTAATTACCTTTTGGACGAAATTCAGTAGTTTATTAAGGCAAGAAACAACGACATTTAACTTGGGTTTGTAGGGCATTTTTGCTATTAAAATCAGGGTTAATATCAACATTTTCCTGCAGTTTAGTTCCAAAGGCGCTCTTTTGTCTCCTCGGAAATTGTTCAAGATCACCGGAACCCCATTTGGGGACACTTCGGCATCGATAAATGCAACACATAGAGTGGAATGTCGGAATGGGTCAATTTGAATGGTTTTCACGTAGTGCGATCCTTAATATCCGAGCAGGGGTATGCGACGAAGAACCACAAATTGGAATTACACGAATTTTCCGCCCTTCGCATTCCAGTGTACAATAGAACTTCCAAACCGGCAATATATTTAACGAAAAAAATGCGGCGCATCTGGAAACCCTTTTACAGACTCGCAAGGAAACTGTAAGGAAAATCGGCCTGAAATATGGCAGAAGTGTGCCAGAGAATACCAGAACAATGGACTTTCCTATTTTTGCATTTAAGCATTTTAATGGGTAAAATTGCCTCCAACGCCGGAAAGAAAAACCACTCCTCAAGCCAGACTCCGTGCACTTTCAAATCCATATCTGTGAATATTTAAGCGCAATCTAAAACTAGTTCTCTAATGAATCATTTTTAATTCCACCGGAAAACGAGGTTGGCAACAATAAAACCTCTAGTTCCAGACTGGCACAGTTGACCGACTAAAATGAATGATTCATTTCAAATTTAGAGCACAATTTAATTTAATAGGCTTTGAAATAATTCATTCAAAGCTAATTTTCCTCCGTACCTTTATCCATCTCCAGGGACTAGCAAGAATTCACAACTTCATCTAGAGGTGTAATTTTCGGGCAAATTTGCTCTCGAATCCCGGATTTAATTAGAAGAACTGGCGCTTAGGTGTATTTGTAGTTAGCCATAGTAAAAAGTGCTAGTAGCAAGGCGAATTAACTCCCTAAGTTGGAGTTTTTTGTCAGTTTTTACGGTGCCAGAAGAATTTAATAAACCTACATCATAAAGCTGTCGGTTCCGAGTCGAATAAATTCCGGACAAAAGGAAAATTCCCAGATATATATTGAAATGCCTTTGGGGAATATGAAAACATTTCTCAGCAGGATTTTGGGGCAAGGTTTCACTTTTTGCCACCGATGGAAACTTTCACGCAAATTAAAGCCGCTTAAAGAGCTCCAATTCCACCGGCCAGCATATCTGAGAGATTTCTAATCCCATTAAGCCCGAACAAAGACTTCAAACAAATTTCCAGTCCCGATTGTCTGTCGAGGATTTCCCACCGCAAAATTCGCTTTATTCGGTGATTAACCGAATTATATCAACCATTTCTAGTGTTTATTCCACATTGAATCAAATCATAGATTAAAAATGCGTGTAATTGAACCAATGACTCAATTGCGAATTTCCCCAAGAAACAGCTGAGTGGCTTCGAAGTCTTCCTCAATCATCTTCTCAACTGCATTAAAATGGTCCACTTGCTCCAAAAGTCGATACTCTACCTTGAAGCCACTGTTCTTGAGTTTCTCATAAAACGCCTTGCTCTGGTCCAGGAAAGCTGGAGAATCTTCCTCAGCTGCCACCACGTAAACACTCACATGCTCCGGGCTGGAAAGTTCCATGTTTTGGGGGCTCAGCAGCTTGGCATTTTCGTCGGTTAGTTTCAAGCCTTCGTTAATAATCGTGCTGGTCAACGGCCCCAAATCGTATAATCCGCAAGATAAAAAAACAGCTTTGACTAGACTTTGTTCTTCACTGGAAAGAGTTTGGATGAAGCCGGAGAACAGAGCGGCCACCAAATGAGCGCCGACTGAATGGCCCGATAAATAAATTCCTCTGAAATGGGCCGCTGATTGAGTTCAAAAACGCAATGTTTGGCAGGAGTTTACCTGGATTTGTTCTTCTTCGCGTAGTCCAGGATTCTTCTAATCGCCACCTCGATTTCCAGCATGATTTCCTGTAAAGACAGTTCCGGACACAGCTCGTAACCAACAGCGGCTAGTTTGATGGCGTTTTTATGGAGAACCGACGCCAAAAAACCTTGATTGCTGTGGCTGATTTCCTTCACCTGCCAGTAGCCGCCATGGACGTGCACTAAAATAGGTGAGTCTGCTGAAATGACGACCTGTTCAAACGGGGGGTTGAATTGCTCACCATCTGGAAGGTCGATGCCAATGATGTCGTATTTTTCCCTTGGAAGCAGCCCGTAAGGTACGTTCAGCTCGCATCTGATCGACTTTTTCAGCTTTTCAGTTTCTAATTGTAAGAAAATACTCTTGCTTATAACGCAGCACTTTTCCAGCTGCATACTTACCCTTGTTAAAGAACTTGATGTGCTCCTCCAGCACCTGATCGAACGGGAATCTCTTCTGCCACTTGTGCGGAAAATACAGCTTATCAAGTTCGGTTAGTTGATCTTCCATTCTTCACCGCTCAAGAACAATTTAGACTCACACCCAAACTGCTCAGATATAAATAGTCCCAATCCCAGGCAATATGAGATGTTGTTCTTTCGAAACTCTACACTCGCAGCGTATCATTTGACTAATCGTTCTGATTAATATGAAATTAGCATCCCATTTCAGAAACTGCTTAGTTTCTGGTGACCTTGTTATGGCGAATAAGTAATGCATTCGCTTCAACCTGACTGGCAATCAGATGGAACTGATTCATTTCAATGTCACACTTAAAATTAAGAATAATATGCTTTATTTGTTTCTGCAAGTTATACCTGCGGGTGTCTTTAAACGTACTGGGGGCTTCTATTCAAGGCGCTTCCCCGCTGCAGTTGAACATATTTTGCAAACTCCCCAGTTATACGAATTATTCGCATTTTAATCCTACAAGTGGGCCTCCTAGGTTTCAGTCAATAATTTTTAAAACTTTGCGCTCATATGTATGAATGGTTGCCACCCCAATTAACCCCAGTGCAACCTTCCAAGGACGTTGCAGCCAAATGCTAACCTCACTCTTAAATGTTTTTGACGTGCTGTTGTAAATAGTTCATTTTACGTGATTCTGACTGTGATTTTGTTAACGATTTCTTTAAAATGACCATGGACAATGTTAAATCGAAAGAATCCGCAGTGGAAGCAGCTGCAGCTGCCACACCCGAAGCTGAAATGAACGAAGTCAAAGCGTACATGAAAGAAATGGAGGAACGCTTTAAGATCAAACACGAGTTGCGAACAGCTAACCAGGGTGCTGCTCAAACAAGGCCTGGCGATTCCCACTTTAGCAAGTTGGATAGCAGCTTGAAGAAGAACACTGCCTATGTGAAAAAAATCAAGAATTTTTCCGCCGCTCAAGTCGATGCCTACCTGAAGGATATGGCCAGTTTGAATTTATCAAAGTACATTTCTGAAGTGGCTGCAGCTATTGTGGACTCGAAGCTGAAGATGACTGATGTGCAGGCAGCCGTTAAGCTCTGCAGCGTATTGCATCAGACCTATGTGGAGTTTTCGCTGCATTTGTTTGAAAATTGGCAAAAAGTGCTGGGCTTCAAATCACATGACAAAATCCTCAACCCCAGCAAACTGAGGGTGGATCTCCGGTTCTACGCAGAACTGTTGCAATCGGGGCTGTTTGCGAACAAAAACGCATTCTCTCTCCTGGGCTCTGTATTAACAGTCTTGATAAACATGGACAAGGAAGAGCACGTAAACGTACCCATTGTGTTGAGTTTTTGCAAGCATTGTGGCGATGACTACGCAGGGCTGTTGCCTAGGCGCATCCGTCAACTTGCCACCAAATATGAAATTCCCGTTCCAAAAAGCAGCTTTTTGCCCGCAGAGAAGCAGCAAAACGTGAGAACCCTGCTGAAGGACTACTATCTGTCCCTCTGCAAGCATCTGCTCAAAGACCATCAAGAGCTGCAAAACTATGAAAAGCACAACATGAAAATATTGCAGACTAAAGGCGAACTGAGCCAGGAGCGGAAAGAGCGGCACGAAACAATGCAGAACTTTTACGAAAAGCTTCTCACAAATGCACAAAATTTTGCTGAAATTTTGGACGAAGACATGCCGATTCTTAAAACACAGAACTTGCCAAAAACCGAAGATGTAAGCCTAAATTGGCGCCATGGATTGGGAAAGGTTTGACTAAGTTTTGGTTTTTTCTTAGAACATGATCGTTACTGGTTTGGGGCCAGACTTCGAGGATAACAGCGCAAACCTTGAAAATATCTGGTGCGATGTGGAAACCCAGAAATTCTACTGCGAACTGCCGGAACTCACAGTGTTTTTGCCCACATCTTTTTTGAAAAACCGACCACCGCCTCCTCCAACAGAAACAGTTACCGAGGAAGTTTTAGACTCGGAGTTGCCCACTGAAGACACCGAAGAAGACAGTAAGTTTACAGAAGAGTGATTAGTCAATCAACAGCAAATCGATTTTTTTTCATTATCAGGTAAGTCAGAAGAAGCTCCTTTGCACGAGGACGACCCAGAGGATCAGACAACAACCAACGCCAGTAATAAAATCGTATTGGATGCGTTTTTAACCAATCTACCAAACTGCGTGAATCGAGAGATGATCGATAATGCGGCCATAGATTTTCTCGTGACTTTGAACATTAAACACAATCGGCGCAAGCTTGTCAGGGCACTGTTTGGGGTTCACAGAACAAGGTACCACAAAAACCACATTAAATGAACATCAGAACAACGTTCAGATGCCCTGAATCTTTCATCTTTTCTTCGCTAAGCTCTTGACCTTTTTGCATCATTTCAGATTAGATCTTCTTCCATTCTATGCACGATTCGTGGCCATTCTATATCCAGCTGTGCCGGAAGTGGGCAACGAACTATGCCAAATGTTGCGCCAAGATTTCAAATACCATGTAAAGAAAAAGGACCAGGTGAACATTGAGTCGAAAATCAAAGTGGTGCGGTTCATTGGCGAACTGGTCAAATTCAATCTCTATTCGAAAATCGAGGTGCTGTTTTGTCTGAAGTTTTTGCTTCATGATTTCTCCCATCACAACATCGAGATGGCCTGCAATTTGTTGGAGGTTTGCGGCCGGTTTCTGTACTGTAGTCCCGACTCGCATCCAAGGACTCGAGTCTATTTGGAGCAAATGATGCGAAAAAAAACAGTTATGACTTTGGATTCTCGATATGTGACTCAAATAGGTAAATTTCCCTTCCTAGGGGCCGATTTCGGACTATTCCAGCAAAACAATTTGTAGAAAACGCGTACTATTACGTGAATCCACCGGAGATGGTCGCGGTTTCCCAAAAGGAGCGACCAGTGATGCATCAATTTATCAGAAAACTCCTCTACCAAGACTTGCATAAGAACAACACAGACAAAACAATGAGATTGATGCGGAAACTGGACTGGGCTAAGGAAGAGATATCAAATTACACAATAAAATGCCTGACTGGAGCCCATAATGTGAAATACTTCAATATAAGGTAGGCGATTTAAAGTCGCCCAATCGCGACCAAAAAACATCCGGTTTATTTCAGGTGCTTAGCTAGTCTTCTATCGGGTTTGGTGGGTTACCAGGAAGAAATTGGCACGAAAGTGGTCGACGGTGTCTTGGAAGACATCAGATTGGGGATGGAGGTAAACCTAGCCAAATACAACCAGAGAAGAGTGGCTCAAATAAAGTATCTAGGTGAATTGTACAATTACCGAATGGTCGAGAGCTCCGACGTGTTTAAGGTAAGAAACCATCCTCAAAACGACACCAACATAAACACTTCCACTTCCAGGTGTTGTACTCGTTAATCACTTTCGGCGTATCAATGGACCCAAACGAGCCATCAGAGCTCGATTCACCAAAACAACTGTTCCGTATTAAATTAGCTTGCGTTCTATTAGAGACGTGTGGTAAGTTCGAAACAACATTCTGAAAAAAAACTCTAAACTAAAACCTATTCCAGGAACGTATTTCAGCAGCGGCAGTAGCAAGAGGAAACTGGATTATTACCTGGTGTTCTTGCAAATGTACTACTGGAATAAAAAAGAGCTCTGGAAACTGTACAATGAAACGTTTCCGCCTACTTTGGAGCACATTTTTAAGGAAACCTTAGGGATGTTGAGGCCCAAGCTGAAGCTGTGCCAAAGCTATGAAGAAGCTCAAGTGGAAGTGAATAACATCAGAATCACTTTGGGGATAGGTGGGACTGATAATCAACCAATAATTCGTTGAGCTAATCCAGCGCGTTTTGCAGAAAAGCTTTTAAGCGAACAGGTGACGAAGGAAGAAGGCGACGGTCTAGGAATGATTGCTGAAGCGGATAATGAAGAAGCCGATGACGAGCCTTCGGAGGGCGCAACAGCCCCAATTACTGATGATACGGGTACTGAAGACGAAACCGTGGACCACACGCAGGATTCTGATGATGAAGGTAATATTATAACCAATATGTTGAAACTTTGATGGAGAAAAAATCTTAGGGGATTTGGAGACGAGCGAAGCTGAAGGCGATCAAGTTTCGGAATCCTTAGCCATCCCAAAAGGTCCCAGAAAAGTGACCTGTCCAGAAGACGACGATTTTCTTACAGCTCTGGATAAAATGGTGTCCGAAAATATTCAAGAAAGGATGCGTGAACCGGTTAAATCAGGAAATTTGGACATTTCAGTGCCAGTTGTTATGAAAAACAACAAAAAGAACTACGATCAATTGCAGGTAATTTTTTATTTTAATGAAATTTTTCATCTATCAAGGAAAATTATTGATTGGCACCTCCTAGGAGCCTTCCGAGGAAACCAACCCAAGAATAGGATTTGTTCTGATGATGCGCAAAGGCAACAAACAACAGTATAAACAATTTGAGGCAGACCCCGACTCGGAACTGGTTCAGAACTTGAAAGATCAAGAGCTCGCTCAGAAGGAAGAAAAAGAGCGCGTGAAACGACTGACGCTGAATATTACGGAGCGATTTGAAGAAGAAGACTATCAAGAATCCATTTCGCAGCAAAGCAGGCCGGTTACCCAGAATTTGAACCGCGAGCGAAAAAAATACCAACACCCGAAAGGGGCTCCTGACGCTGATCTCATTTTCGGTCCAAAGAAAGTGCGTTAAAGCTGAATTTCCAATGATTTTAAAAAAATTCGGCTTTCCAGTAGCACAATTTGGAAGACTTGGTGTTTTGTTCATCCAAATCTGGTTAAGCATCTTTGCTACATCGTTGCTTGACGACCTGGAATTTATGGTAAGATTTACCGATAATAATAAACGGAAGCGTTTTTTTAACGTGTTCAAGTTGGATTTGATTGTTAGAAATTGATTAAAACATAAATAAAAACAAGTTAATACTCAGTGAAGAAAAATGTTATTGGTGTAAAAGAATACGAAATATATTTAGACGATGCATAATGCGCTGTACAAAAAAGCAAATTAATTATAATTATCAGTAACTTCTTTGGAATTACAATACAAGTTCCTACTTACTCCTTACTAGAAAATTAGAGCTTTACATCTAAATCACAACTTTACAGGGCATTAACTACTAAAAATCATCTGCGTTTATTAGGGCATTTATAACAATCACGAAAACCTTATTGGCTGTTTTTCAAGCTCTAGTTTTCGATTTGATTCTTCGTAATTATCCGCACTACACTTAGTGTAGGGAAAGGACAAAGGAAGTAACTAAAAGTAGATTATGGCAATAATGTCAATTATCACGAAAGTAAAAACATATCACGTAATAAATGAGGGGTATCAATTATGACAATATTTTGATCCAGTTAGAGCTCAACGGGTATAATTATTTCATACAGGGTGGATCATCAAGAGTATTTTTAGGACGCAAAAACTATTTTTAATTGTAAAATTGCAGCGGTTTAATGACCGCATTAACAAGCATAAAAATGTAAAGAAAGGGCAATTTCAAGCAGTATTTGGCAGAAGTCAATGCTAAGCCTAAATCACCCTGTATTCCTAAAAAAAGTCAATTATACTAAATAAAACTAGTTGACGCAACGTTTTTAGTCACGGATTTGCAAATTTGTCTGCTTTCAAGCGGTAAAAAGTTTCGAGGACATGTCTAAAGCAATTATACTCTTTCGACAACCGGAATGTTACCCTCATCAAGAAAAATCAACGGTTTCTTCAAATGATTTAACTGACCATTTTTCTCATATATCCTGGACACTACTCCACAAACTTCCACTACTACTGTCCGATTTCGCATCTATATCTATACTAGCTTGTTGCATTAGAGCTGATATTCTGTAATTCTGCAGAAACAGCGCGATAGCGTGATAATATCCTGGCAATTGCCAGGTTTCGTTGTGCGTTCCTCCTGGTAGTTGGAACAGTTGTTTTCGTACACTGTTGCTCCTGAAAATCAAATAGAACAGAACGTTAAGTTAACGAAAAAAACCCAACTTGCGACAATTACCTTTCGTACAATTCGTGCATCATTTTCGGTGGCACCAAAGTGTCTGATTGGCCAGAAATGAACAATGTGGGCGTTCTCAGTTGCTTTACTTTCTGATAAGACTGGAACTGAAATATAAAGGTTTCGGACGTGAAAGCGCTAGGGAATTTTAGGTAGATGTATACCTTATTTTTGTAAAAAAATATCGGAAGATATTGCAAAATTTTCCAACCTAGCAAAACTTTGGCCATATCGGGCACACTGGTAAATGTGTTTTCCACTATTAGGCACCAAATTTTATGGCTGTAAAACTCTCTTACTGCTAGGTCTATTGCAACAGCACCTCCTGAGAAATAAGGGAAATGTATAAAAAATGAACGGCTCAATCTCGCAATGCCCACCTAAAGACCTTCCAAAAACCACAACTTCCGAATGATTAATATCATTCCTGCTAAATAAGTAATCCAAACTGGCTCTGGCATCCATATACAGCCCTTCTTCTGATGGGCTTCCCTCTGCTAGCCCATATCCCCTGTATTCTACCAGCAGGATGTTACAGTGCAGATTGTGATATAAGCCTGCACAGTTTTGCAATCTAGGGAACGTTTCGGTATTAATAAAAAAAACGAGTGAGAGTTTTGCGTGGAAGTTGCAGTGTCCTGGAAAAAGTAGATGTTTGCTGCATTCATACCTGTGACCCATATTGCCAGCATTGCCATGAAAGAAAACAAAAGTAGGAGCAAGTCGTTGTCGGTCTTTAGGCTGATGAATAAAGTACATGTGTATTGTGACCCCATCGGGGCATTTATGATTGATACTTTCAAAAGGAAGTCCAAACATTGACGGGATCGGTATATATACTCTAGAATGGCTCGGCAATTCTGGGCAGAACAGCAAGCTGTCTTGAACTTGGTATAAAATTCCTGCAAATGGCAGCGTTTAGTAAATAACCGCCTTTTTGGAAGGGCCATTGTATACTTGCCTGTAATCGCAAACACCAGTAACATCATAGCAAAAAACCCGCCATATAAGTAGTAGAGCAGGAAACAAATTACTAAAACTAGGCCAGAATAGGCCCACACTTTTAGGATCATTCTGAGCAGAAGAGCCCCTAGTTGGGATAGGGACACATAACCCCCCATGTTTATCGGTCTGTAGTCCGGCATTTTTTAGTCGGCTGGTTTTATCATGATAATTAGCAAATGTGGTAATGTCTTCTGCGCATTAATCACTTTTTTTAAATTAATCCCACAGAATTGAGTTAAACCATTGTTAAAAATTACTTGACGTTTCTTGTCAAAACTGAAAACACCGAGTGACCATAGATAAAGACTGATAAGTGACTGCTGACTTGTGACAAATTTAAGTCTCTCTCATACATACAGCGAGATAAAGAGCGATATATATTTACTGGCAGGCTAGTGTTAGTGACGTCATTGAAGCCACACATTTCTTCTACCTAGTTTTTATTTGAATAATTAGCTGTGAATAAAACTAGGTCATTTAACATAAAAAAATATCCCGGGTTTATATACAGTAAAAACGCATTGAAGTAAATATTTGCCTGTGCTCCTATATTTTGAAATGCGATCTGGAGTCTCTGCCATTTGGAATGTTCCCAGCGACTCTCATTCGCCTCACGGCTTCCCTCAGGTGTTTTGGCTGCAAGGGCCCGCTGTCTTGTAGTTCTTCCATTACATCCAGTCCTGAAAAAACCTGTTATGTTTCACGTTAGAGTTTCATTCATGTTTCCACCTTCTTCCACAATTTCTCCCACAAACACCTTGGCAATACCCGCCATGGCAATGACAACGTTCTGAGACACTGAACAGCCAGTTATGGTCTGCATTAGTCGCTTTATTGCTGCTTTGGGAAATGCGGATCGTCTGTACATTTCATATCTGTCCAGTTGTTCTTCTGTAAAGTTCGACACCAACACTCTGAAAGACACCAGATTTGGGAAGTTTACCTTGGGCTTTAAAAGGGGGCTTACTGCATTTTTTCCCTCTCTTCCTCCTCCAGCTCTTTTCTGGTCTTCACGTCCTTCTTCACCTTTGGAGTGGATGGTGCAGCAATGCTGACACCCAGAGAATTGTGATTTGATGCTTCTGGCATTATGATATCCACTCCAAGGTCTAGAACTTCTTCTTTGATCTCTTGCTTGATGCTTGCATCCGCGTCACAAGCAAAACTAAAGTCCATTTCGGATTTGAGCTGCATTTCCTCAGTGGAAACATCTTCAAAGTCCTCCTCATCTTCTGAGTGTGTGTTCTCAAAATTGTTGTATTTCAGATTGTCCAGGGCTCGGATGTTGTTGTGATCAATCTCTTTGTCAAGAATATCGTCCATTTTGGGCAGAAACAATTTTTGAAAAACGTAAAACTTGAGGATTGTTTATGTTGTCGTGATCTTGTCATTGTTTTCAGGTTGTGTTGATGATTCAACTTCTTGGTAGCCGTTTCGCCTTAAGGAAAATAATTAAAACTGCGCTAGGGCTTTACTGGGAGTTTTGCCGATTAATTACTTATTTTTTTTAGTATAGTTAATATATTTGGCTATTTTTATCGTTTAAAGCGCCTCAGGTGAGTAATCAACACGTGATCAACACAAAGCTACTGCTTCCAGGCAATGTCACTGAGGTCGCTGAGATCAGTCAGAATCCGTCAATACCGCATTTCCATTATTTGACAATAACAAATTTTTGTTTACTGTGCGAAAAAATACGATTTTTGACCTTAAATGAGTAGTGAGCAACGGTATTTGTGCGTTATTATCGCCCTAAACTTGTAAACGGACAATAGCGTGGTTCCACACAAAATCCTGAGCGAGTAAACCGAACCTTGCCTGAAATCCCAACATTGTGTTCAATCCTCAACTGAAACTCCATTTACTTTGTCCTCAATCCTCCTTACACGGTGCTTGTTGGTGATGTTTTAGTGTGAAAGGCCCCCCTGGACAGCGATCTAGTGACGGTAAGTCGAAGATTTTGCGAAAAATGTTTGCCAAAAAACTAGACTTGAACCTGTATCTTCCCTAGGGCATTTTACCTGCCTTATATTCCCTAAGCTCAGATTACACAGGGACATTGTTTCTACGGGTTTTAGATAAAAAATGCAATTAGGGCAGAACTGTTTTTGTTTCAGGCAACGGACAAAGGTTCCACAAGGAGTCAATTATTGGATGGGGCTGGTTTTGCCCCTAGATTCTTGCACTGGCTCCCACTTCCACCACCACCATTACCCCCTTACATTCAGAAGGTAAAACTTGATTTTACAAAAATCTTTACCATTCTGGCTTTGTTGAAAACAGTGGAAAGAGTTTACAGAGAACTTACACATTTTCATACCTTGTCTTCTATGTGCTTCTATCTATACATAGATAGATAATGCGTTCACAATTTTACATAATTCATTGCACAACAAAAATGCAGATTCTCTAACAATTTGTAAGATAAATATGAAACACCCAATTTACGGCATGAAACCTACATTAAAGTGAACAGTCCACACAAGTGGATTTAAAAAAATATTAAAACGAGAATTAAGGATAGCAAATACTGAACATTTTTACTGCTTATAACTGCAGGCTAATCTCTCGATAAATAATTGTATTTCAATTCTCTAGTAGGGCTTAGATGAAATTTTTATTGTCGATTTGTCACTAAGTCGGGCAAGTGGTTTGGTTGTGAAATTGTATCTAATTTAGGCTATTTTATCAGCATCTTGGCTTCTACTAAAAATTCCTATCTTAGGGGATTGTTAGCTAGATTCAGGCCATTAACTTAGCATTCTTATCCTACTTCAGCTACTATAATTAAGCAGCAATAATGTGTTTCTCGAGGGTAGAATGCTCATTCTTGTTTTCCTGTTTTTGCCATCCACTGATCTATACTACAGTTGTGTGTTCCTAACTGTAAGTTCAGTAGATCGTCAGACAATAATTTCACAGTCTATTTACAGTTAGTTACGATTCCCATATGGCGCGAAAGGCTGCCATGAACAAAGATGATTTCATCTTCCAGGTAAATGCATCTTTAACATTGCCATAACTGTATGTTAATTACAGTTTTAGGTGTACATTTTTATTCATTCGGTCCTTGTCGTTGTTTATTGGTTTCGCTTGATGCAGTAGCTGCAACAATAAAACGTTGAAAACATGGCAATTGATCAGGAGTTAAATGAGCTGTAGGGAAGGAAATTATTTAAGTTTTGTTTAACAAGAAATGCCCTTAAGTTTGAAACGACGTTGCGTAACGTTTACATTTACACCTGCATTGCAACAAGTAAATAGTCCTGGCGGCTTGAAGAAATTGCTTAACACCATACTTAATCGATTATCCATCCGAGCACATCCAAGGAAATCATTATCACTCGAAAAGGTGTCTTGCCAATTAATGTGGCGAATTAATTTTTATTTGTTGCCATTTGCTTTAAGTGTAACGGCACATGAGCGAAACTACTTTATTTTTTTTGGCTTGTTTGGTCGATGAAGCCATCGTTTTATTGGCACAGGGTTTCGTTCTAGAGAGCCACTTAAAATATTTGTTTCGCCACGTTTTTCTCTATCACACAATGTTTCGGCAAAGACGATTTTTCGCGAATATTTTAGTTGATTATAAAACCAGATTTGAGTTGAATGTCTGAAAAATAGCAGGGGAAAATCAAAGGTTTTTAAATTCCTATTCGTGAAAAGTTAGACTCAATTTTTTTAAGTATAAAAAGACCGCCACGGGTTAAAGCTAATAACGCCAAGAAAGGGGGAAAGAGGGGAAAATTAATCAGGTCTAATTACTTTTGCGAAATAAATTTTTGGCTTTTTCATAAATTTCTTTTAAAAACCTTTTAAAGGCCCGTCGAAGTTTAAGAGCTGATTAAGGACATGGAAATCATTAGAATGTTTTCGATAGAACTTTTCAAAGCTGGTCAGTGCCTGATTAGATTCAATCAGAAGTTTAGATATCTGAAAAAATAGACGCAAAAGTTGGTCAACGTTTGAACATTTTCATACAAGCAAACAAGCAACATTTTGAAAATTTGTCAATCACCTCTAAAAGTCTCCCAACTTCAGGCCCTGATAATTCTATTGAAACTGCAAAAATTCAGGGGCGGAGAAATCTCCAAAAACGCAATTTCGGGGGTTAAACCGTGCCTCTAATCGATGATAAAATCGCGTCACAAAGAATATTTCTTGTTTTTCCGTCAAAAACTGCTTATTAACTTCTTAGCTGATTAAATTGCCATTGACGACGTTTTAGCTTCTGTATCCTGTTGGGCTGCTAATTGACTAGCTTGAACCAGAATCAGAAAGTCAATTTTAATTGCATTTATTCTCAATTGTAAGGTTTGAAAAAGTGTGCAGTGCCAACAACCGATTGACTAAAAATCCGTTAGCAGCTTCTGTGGAAACGATTAACTACTGTTATTAGCGATTTGTGCTCCGTTCTGCGGCCGGTTTCCGGAAAAAATCGTTGCAATCGAGTCTTTCTGCCTGATTTTCCACATAAATAGTCTGGTTTTCATGTCGCGTCCATTACTGATCATTTAACTGTTTTATCTTTAGCCAAGGAACTAAAAATCTGCACTAGGTATGTGCAATTTTGCCTAGCCAAAAGGTTTTGCCAAACCCTCAGAAAAGTGTGCTGAAGTTGTAGGAAGTGAAATGTTCGATTAATTCCTGCAAAATAGGAAAGTTTGCGATATTAACTAGGCCCCTTGGCGCCAATCTGGTTGTTTACGGTCTCAGAACGAACGAGGTTAAAAAGCAGTTCAAATGCCCGATAATGGAGTAACGTCGAAGGCTAATTCGTGCACGTTAGGATTCAATTAGGTGCCCCATTTTGTGTAATGCGTAATTGCGTTGAGTCACAAAGTCGCTTTCCATCTAAATTAGTTCATTACATTTAGTTTCGTTCGCAAATTTTGAGAATGCTGTCCAAGAAAAACGACACGAAAACACGTAAAACCGAACAAACGTTTGAAAATTTAAGTTCTTTTGGGGCATTCCCTGCTCTGTTTGATCGCCAGGCTTTGCAGGGACTTTCGCTTGCCTTGAACCCATCAGGAATTCTGAGCAGGTTGAGGATGATTTCCAAGGCGGCTTTTTAGAGAATGTATGGAACGTTTGTAGGATAAGCTCCTGAGGCCCTTTGAGCGATGATTTTGCAACGCAACGGTTTTAATTAACTTTTCTAAGTCAATTGTTGAAGTATTTTATTTAGGAGTGTAAACATAACACCCAAAATCGTAATGAGATTGCGTCAATGTGTAATAGTTTTGCAACGATTTCGATTAAATCGTGCTGTGTATGCGTCGACTTAATTCAGTAATTTGATGGCCTGATTTTATGCGAGTGAAAGTAGCAAGAAACACAAGTGATTTTGGATGTTTTTATACGAATTTGTATCACCTTCGATAGCTCAGTTGGTAGAGCGGTGGACTGTAGAGGTTCCTCGTGTAGATATCCATAGGTCGCTGGTTCAAATCCGGCTCGAAGGAAACTCCTTTTTGCTTTAACTCGTTTTGGAGTATGGGGAAACTGTAGTTTTGCACCTTGGGACCGCAGAAGATTGTGAATGCTTTAAATCAGCCGAAATTGTCGATTAGTTCGTTGTATTCTTCGCTTCCTTTAGATGAAAATTGGCTGCTAGTTGAAGCATTCTGAGAGAAGTGAAGTTTTTGCCAAAAAGCGGCTGAAAATTTCAGCCAAGAAAACAATTGATATGCGCGATTTTTGAGCGACCTTTAACCGCAAAACAAAAATGAGCAAAAATGTCAATTGTTTTGAATCTGAAGCTTCTAGTGTGTTTTTCAATGAGTTTGTTGCATTTTTCATTTCTTTGAGATGAAAGTGATGTAAAATGAGAAGCATTTTGAGAAAACTGAAATAAAAAAAAATCGACCATCCACTTTTATGAAATTTTCAGTCGGAACTCAAAATTTTACATGCATAAAGCGTTTAGCTTCATAATTAGAAAAATATCGCTGTTTAAAAATTGTGACCGCGCAAAMATCGCTTAAAATGAGCCAAAAATGTTGATTATTGTGAATCTGAAGGTTCTCAGGTGTTTTTGCTTCTCATGCTTCTCATTTTCACTRAGTTCGTTGCATGTTTTTACTTCTTTGAGATGAAAATAATGTAAAATTGGAAACATTTTGAGAAAATTTAAAATTTTGAAAAAATTGTCCATGTAAATTTAAGCCAAAATAAAAATTTTCTAGAAAAAGCTTCTAGACCGTTTTGAACTAGTTTATTGCATTTATCGCTTCCTTGAGATGCTAATGATGTAGAACTCGACGCATTTACAAGAACTGATCATTTTTCCAAAAAAATCAACCCCGACTATCGCCAAAATTTCAGTCAAAATCAGATAAATAATTCACATGCGGGTTATTTGAACTCAATAGATTTCTTCGGTCCAAGAAGTCATTCAATTTGCGCATATAAAGTACATATTTGGATCTATAATGAGGAAAACGACGGCGGTTAACAATCGGAAAATGTGCATTATTTAGAATCTGAAGCTTCGGGAGCGTTTTTCAACCAGTTTGTTGCATTTACAGCTTTCTTGAGATGAAAAAAAAACGAAAACTCGAGCATTTTGGCAGAATTCATATTTTTCCGAAAAATTCGACCCCGACCATTATGAAAATTTGAGTCAAAAATATGTACATATAAAGTGTTTGCGGTTGATAATAAGGAAGATTTAGAATCATATTTGTGGCGGTCTGCCGTTTTCGTAAACAGATTCCTCCTGCCGCGCTTTTCATCGATTTTCCATTACAGTTTCGCCCATTTTGCTGCCTGTTTTCATTATAAACCCATTATTTTAAGCATTTGGCCTGATTCCATATGCAGAGTGCGAAGAACGAGTTTACATTTTCGAATCCATGGTCCATTTTGTGAGCGATTTCGGAAGCCTTTAAACTTAACAAGACACTATTACAGATTATACAGGGTGTTGTATCTCAGATCCATTCTTTCACTACACCTACTGGGGTGTAGGCATATTTAGAGTAAAATATTTGAATGGAAACACTTTTTTAAATGTTCATACAGAATATCCGAAACAGTAACAACAGCACACATAATGTAACGGGGCCTATACAGTCTTCTAAAATATCATCTGGTTTTCTGGACCGAAGCTGAAATGGGTTTTCTAAAGTTCCCTACAAACCAATGAATGAGGCGAATTTCCCAGCAAAATTAATTTTGTCATTTTTAGCTGAAAAGATCCCATTATTGGCAGAAAAGAAGAAAATCATCGGAAAATAATGGTTTTTTGCGTTTTCGATTAAAAGCTTTTAGTTTTGCGATCGGTTTTGGAGAAAACCTTAATGGTTTTCGGGGAAAAACGGGAGGAATTTATTTTCGTCTTTGTCCCGAATTCGACGCTGACAAAAGATTTTGTGAAATTTTGCTTGTAATTTTTCGCGTAAAACACCTCCAGATCGTCAGTATTTTTAAGCGAAACTGTACAAAATAGAGCGTTTTTGAGTCGAAAGTGAAGCGAAAAAACTATTTTTTTTAACAAATTCTACAGTCTTTTGAGACGAGATTTTCAAGTAATTTGTTTCCAAATAGTCTGTATAACTTTCGCTAATTCTGTTCATTTTTTGATAAAAAAACTATTTGATTTTTGTTCCAATTTCGAAGCTGCAAAAGGATTTCCAAATTTTTTACAAAGCGACGAAGGAATTAATTTCATAGTTTTTCGCGGAAAATACGGATTTGTAATTTTTTTATAAAGCCATAAATTTATCTTAATTTTTCGCGTAAAAGACCTCCAGATCGTCAGTATTTTTAAGCAAAACTGTACAAAATAGAGCGTTTTTGAGTCGAAAGTGAAGCGAAAAAACTGCTTTTTTTTTAACAAATTCTACAGTCTTTTGAGACGAGATTTCCAAATAATCTGTTATAAACTTTCGCTAATTCTGTTAATTTTTTGATAAAAAAATGATTTGATTTTTGTTCCAATTTCGAAGCTGCAAAAGGATTTCGAAATTTGTTACAAAGCGACGAAGGAATTAATTTCATAGTTTTTCGCGGAAAATACCTTAAAATTGTCAGCATTTTTAAGTAAAACTTTAGAAAATTGAGCATTTAGAAGAAAGATTAACTTGGCTAAAACTGAAAAATTCTGAAATTTTGAAGAATAAAAAAAAATATTGGTAATAAATGGCCCTTAAAATCAATCTAAAAACAAGTAAAAAAAAGTCTTCAACATTCTCCCAGCAACGGAACTGAGTTACAGCGGGTGCGTTGGGTTGGCGCACCAAGCCATTTGCGCAGCACTGCGCCAACTCTTCAAAATTCACTGAGTACCCAGGCCTAAGACAAACCACCATCAGTCTGTATCTATGATAAACAGTTTGAGCTCGTTTGGACACTGATAGAGTGATAATTTCTGGAACATGTCCCGAAAAAATCCATAAAAATGTGAGGCAATGCTGATGGGAAATGTCCGAACCTTGAACAATGCCCATTTGATTTCGTAACCGACCAACACTGCTCCGACCCAATTTTCTGCATAGATCGTTCCATACCACACGATTTTCCTCTAGCGCTATCGATAGAAACAGAAGCACGGTAGTAGGCCAATCGACGGCCAAGCAACAGGTGACTCGGTGCGCCGTCTTCGGTATCTCGATTTACGACGTCGACGACGCTGATCGCTTGTTTGTTTTCAAGCAGCTGTGATGGTGAATATTTTCCATTTTTTTGCCACACATTAACATTATCAGTTCCGACAGTGTTGGGCTTCGCCATCAGTTTTTCGGCTATCAGCAGCAGCTCACTTGGACGTGCGTCTCATTGCTTTGCGACAGTGATTTGTTTTCGGGTTTCAACTAGCAATGAATATGTGAAATTAGTGTCGAAGAGAATGTCGTGACTGTTTTATCGTATCGTGATTTTTCTGCTGGACGAATGGATCCGGAACAATTTCAATTTTCTACTGAAAATCGGCATAATTAATAACTGATTGGAATAGCGTGAAGCCGGCAGTTATCACGATTGGCTGTCGTTGGCTGCAGGACATTGACCAGGTTTACGTTCTTTCGCTTAAATTGAATTAAATTGCAAAGGGAAGGTCCAGGGAAGGTGAAAATATAATTTTCGCAAAAGCAAAATGCGTTTCATGGGTTAGTGCGATTTTGGTTCAAATGTCACCCTATAGCCGCTATAGGCCCCTGTCGCCAGGGTCGGACTCAGCAGGGGGTGGAGGATTAACCGCAGTTATTCACCAGCAAAATGGGGCTTCGCCCTGTCGAAATGCCCAAAGTGCCTGCCGGTTTTTAAGATGGATTTCCAAATTCGGCTCTCAACCCGCCAATAAACCCGGACTAGGTAAGAGAAGATTTCGATTTTGGCAAATTGAGTGCAAACACTCACTTTTAGCGCGTTTCTGCAAACTCATTTCTCAACTGATTGCTTTTTATCAATAAAAAAATCGTCCCACTGCTTCTGCATCGAATTCAAATCAGCCCATTTACCTTGACTCTAACCTACTGTTCCACATTAATTCATCATCAGTAATTTGCAGGAATTCAGCGCAGATTTCGTTTCCAAAACCCACTCTTTAATTTCGATCGTGTTTTTTTTTTCGAAGCGATTTTATTTTTAAAGATCCCGTTTGGTGTAAACTTGAATGGGCAAGTGGGTATGTTGAACCGGTCACTCGGACGAACCAGGAACCGAGCCAAATAGATATTTTTAGTTTTCGACCAGAATAAACTCAACAATAAATCACGAAAATTGCTTCAGCTTGCGATCTAAGTGGCCGTGACGTGAGAATGTGATTGATATAAAGTGCATAGTTGTAGATGCCATTTATCTACAGCTTTTACTACATTCATCCATATAGCAAGTGGAGGGTGTCCTGGAAGATGTTTACACAGTGAATAATAATACCAGTAACTCCTGCAGAGGTACACTAAGGTGCCTGTAGGCAGGACGGGAATATGCATCATAAACTTAAACTAAAATAACGATAATTAATCCCATCATAAATTGAAATCAACATTAATTCCTAGATACTGAGCGTTTTGCAAATCCAATCATGAGTTTATCTTATTTTTAACTGAATTTGTTGTCAATTACCTGTATTTTTGTAAACGTAAACACAAGAAAAACAGCGAATATTCAAATGTTTATTCCCTTTTTTCGAGATCATTGAAGTTAAAAACGACTCAAAAGTTTGTCATTACAAAATCAACCACTAAAGTTAAAGTTGTCGCATATGATTTTTTCATATATAAACTTCTGCATAAAGAAATTAGTGAATATTTACATGTTTACTCCCTTTTCAAAAATGTTCGCGTTAAAAACGTACTCAAAAGTTCCCTACTACAAAAGCAACAAGTAAAATGGTGGTCAATTATTTGTTTTTTCATTTTTAAACTTCCACAAAAGAAAATTGGATAATTTTCAAATGTTTATTCCCTTTTTTCAAAAACGTTCCAGTTAAAAACGACTCAAAAGTTTCCTACTACAAAATCAATAACTAAATTTATGGTCAATTTTTTGAAAACTTGCTGTCTTTAACTTCAAAAAAACTGCCAAAACTTTTTTTTGGTGTCTGTAAATCAACTGATTTTTGATGGAGTTGATCCACCAACCCTTTATGGTTATTTTTGAGCTCTTTGTAAAATCTTGCAACCTTCATAGTTTTTACGCAAAAAAATATTCATATTCTACCACCCTGTACATCATAGATATGCAGGGTGGTCGAGTTTCTAGAGTTGAAAGTTTAAGGACCTACAGAAGAATCGAAATGCTTCGTTAATGAAATACAGGGCGTTGAAGTTGGATTTGCCATAAAAAAATTGTCAGCTCTGTCAGTGGCCTCCATGCTAACCTTAACTGGGCATTTTTAACGCAAATATTGGCAAGCTACAGCTTTTTAAAAAATTTAGAAATTTTTTTGGATAAATTATTCAATTTAGCTCTCTTTAAAATTTCATGTACGAATGAGCATTTGTGAGTGAGAAAAATTTAAAAAGTTGAAAAAGGCACCAACATAGTGTTGTGAGTTCTTGTTCACTCACAAAGTTGAATCACATGATTGAAAATCATCCAAATTGAACCAGAAATCCAAAACGTATTTTTATTTTATAAAAACCCATCCATCGACTTCCTGTCTTAATGCGGACTGGGAAACTCCAGGATAGTTGATTAATTTTCCTCCTTCATTAAAAGGTCCTGTTTTTGAACCCGAAAATGAAAAACTTTCTTATGATTCAAACGACCTCAAACTGCAGCGTATAAAAATCGGCATCTAATGGATCAACTGGAGTTTTGCAACAGTTCAGTTGCACCAATTTAGCTGCTCTAGATAAAGCAGTAATTTCACCGTCGTTGATTTTTCCAGCCATTATTAAACTCATTGTAGTTGCGAAATGTTTCGTTGTGAAAGTTTGCATCTAAGTACGGTTGTTGAACAATGTTCCTCCATATTTTCCATCGCTTGTGCAATTTTGAGGCTTACTGAAAATGCTCTAATGCCACTTCGAGCTACGTTTCGATTGCAATAAGTAGGAAATCCACGTGCGTTAAATCAAAGGCCACAATTTGTTTATTTATAAGCCATGTGATTATATCTCGTGCACGTGATATTACTTACGGTGGGCACATAAATAAACCAATTAAGCCAACTTAAGGTTTATTACCTATTAAAAAAGTGACTTGCGATTTATTAGGACTGATGGCGAATATTATGAAAGTGGTTATTTTTTTTTTAATATTCCCAGAAGTAACTTCTTATGGTTACTGTGAGAACTGTCTCCGATTCTGTTTCATGCGGGTTATTCATTCTGCAGCCGGAAATAGGTACCAGTCTAGCGACTAAAATCCATTAATATTGATACAGAAACGTTCTTCGGCAATATCGCAACATTTTATCGAATGGATCTGTTTTTCCGCTTTTTTTTCTAATTCCGCAGCTCGTTGAATATTCACAGTGCTGAATGGAAATTTCTTAATTAACGCAAAAAATTTAGCTGGTAATTGAATTTTCCTCTTAAGAACTGTGAAAGGAAGTAACTGGCGAATGTTCGTAATGAAGTTTTTTGGCAGGGGGCTAAAACCCGTTTCCAGTTGTCAACAGCCAGAATATGTTAGTGTTTTTCTGGCTTTAAACAGGTTGGATGGATTTTCGAAAGTGTATTCTACCGATTTGGTGTTTTGCCAGTGAAATCCTGCCTACATGTTGCATGGAAATTAGGCAAAAGGAATGAACAATAGACCCGACTTTGCGCTCAATTATTTTTCCGTTAGTTTAGCCAGGAAACTCATCTGATCATGCATACCTTCCAAATTAAGGGTTACCGTATTTGGCATTATTCGTTGCCGATCAGGAAATTGGGTTTCAAATCGAATCTCTTTGCGGTCTAATTATGGTGTTCTTCGAAGGGAAGTTATGGAAGACCGAGACACTAAAAGTAGAATGCGTCTTTGCTAAAAGGAACCTACTTGAAATTGCCTTAAAATAATGTGCATCCGCACGCCATTCTGCAATATACTGCATTGAAAATCTAGGTTAACTCATACGCAAATCACCAGCCAAGTCAGCGAAATGCTGAACTTGCAGTTAATCAGTTGAATATCGAAGAAATCGTTCTGGAAGGCGGATTTTTACCAACTAAAACCCCCCCATTTAATTAACTGATTAAGTGTATGGAGCACATATTGCTCGATTGGTTTTTTTCTTGAGGGGAAAGACCCAACAAAAAGTTTTTGAAACACAAAATTATACAAAAATTGTTATTTTCTTAAACAGCTTTGCCATTGCTTGAAAATCTGCTGAGTTTTTCGAAAAAATAGCAACACGAAATTGCGTTTTAAGCTAGGAGTTCTTTTGAACTCTCAATAGGAAACTGGCTTTTTGTGTGCGTTTTGCATTAGAATTGCGCTCTACGCAGTTTTCACCTTGTTGCATAGATATATTGTTACTGAACCATAATATGACGGTTTAGCCACAGAAAATTTATAGAAAAGTTTATGGTCAACTGCCTAAGCTCCAGCTAGTGATTATGGTAAAAGTTACCAGCCATCCAGCTGTAAGGTTGCGTGATTGAGTCAATTATTCAATTATTGATACATGCAACCTTTTAGTGCAGTTTTGGTCGCAATGGAAGCCCGGCAAGTGCGCGATTCAGGCAAAAATTGGGAAAAATAAATGTCGAGATACGACAATGACCTAAAAACGAACTTTAGATGCGGTAAATCTAGGAGAAAACCATTTTCCAATTAGTCGAATTCATCGACAGCTGTGCAATCTTGACGTAATAAAAACGACTTTACCTAAGTATGTCATCGGATTGAGCAATAAGCAATACACATAAGCGTCTATTCCAACCGATTTATTAAAAAATAATCGTCTCTATTATTCTTCATTAGATTCATTGTCTTGTTCACTCCAGTCTCTATTTTTTTCTAGACCCAAGTCTGTAGAAGTAAATCATAACAACATTTTCTCGAGACGAAGACCGTGACTGCACACTTACAGCAGAAGAGAAATTGCGCGGCTTTGCATAAAAATCGTTTCTTGTGGGAGGCAGAAACAATAAAAAATGCACATGTAAAGCAACGGTAACAAACGATCGGGCTCTTCGGTGCCTTTGGTGGCTCTCGAGGCCCATGCTTAAGCGCAATTAATTTATTTGCACATGGGAGGAAAATTTCGCTCTGCTAGACGACGCTGATGGCCAAACCGGAAGAAAAAATTTAATGCAGACTTTGGAAGCATCAAAGTCCAATTGGGTGTTTGGCTTTTGCCTCATCCCCTTGTTGTTAATTTTTACGATTGCGATAACAAAGTGTGTGTCTTGAAGCGATAGCACTATTTACTTTGGTTAGAAAAAGGCCCGATTAATATGCTAGAAGGGACCCAGTTCACATGACGCTCAAACAAAGACACTCGTGTGCACACAGAAACAAGAACAGCGTAACCGTGTACTGTTACAAGGACCGAATAAATATTCGTTTTCCTAATTTTCAGTGCCGCTTAAGTACCATCGAACCTACAGGGTGATTGTTCTATTATAAAAAAAGTTCAGTTTTCTCCGATTTTAATTTTTCTCTATCAACCTTTTGTTAGCGCTTAAGTAGATGCTATTCATGTAAGTATTCTATAAGACACGTTTAAGAAGCTTTGTAAAAGAAGGCATGTTTTGTTTAGGTCTTGTTCAAAATCGCCACCTAATGTAAGTAAAGTGATTGTAATCGCTGTTTGTTTACCAAATTTCCTCAACTGTTTCCGTATTTTCTGGTTGGTTTACTTGAATAATGGGCGGAAAAACAACAGTAACAATGTGCCATCGTGTTCACCCCCTCAATTGAGGATAATT